GTAGACAGCTGCTCGCAAGCTTTTAAGACCCCAGATGCTACTTACCAAAGTAGAATGTAGAACATTTCCTCTGTGAACTGTATTATGCCAGTTGACCTAGATGTCCCATAAGACCATAGTCACAACGCTCAGCCCCAGTAACTCAGTCCCTCAAGGTCTTTGGATGTGTGTAGGAAGCTTCTTTGACTTTGCCTTGGTCACGTTGTGCTGACTTCCCCTATATTGCGTGTTGTCTTTCCCTTCACCAAAGTTAATGCTTGTCTACTACCTAGTTTAGTGGTTTCCCTTCGCCCCTTCCTCCTAACAATCAAAGGATGTTTTTTTCTGTGTGTAAACCTTTTCTTGAGTTTTTATAATACTGGTGTATATAGTATTTGTTGTTTTGTGATTCACTCATTTCACTCAGCATAATGTCCTCCAGAATCATCCACATTAAATGATGTTTTGAGGACTTATCATTGTTCTTTAGGGCTGCATAGTATTCTGTTGTATGTATGTACCACATTTTGTTGATCCATTCATCCATTGATAGGCACTTAGGTTGTTTCCACCTTTTTCTATTGTGAATAATACTGCAATGAACATAGGTGTGCGTATGTCTATTTGTGTCACTGCTATTAGATCTCTAGGCTATGTACCTAGAAGTGGGATTGCTGGATCATATGGTAAAGGAGGAGAGTTTTGGGAGATAAAACTGACAATAGAAAGTAGTGCCGAAATTGGAGAGGGCCTTGAATATAAACTAAGGAAATCCAGTTTAAGGGGGAATTATTACATTTTTAACACCAGAGTGGCGTTATAAAAATGGCCCTTTAGGAAGATGCACCTCACCTGTGCTGCATGAGATGCATTAGAAGGAGTGGAGTCTGGAGGGAGTGGTCCATTAGGAATCACTCGTAGGAGTCCGGGCCTGAGAATTGAAGGGCTGATCTAGGTTAGTAGCAAAAGTGACTGAAAAGAAAAGATGTGTGAAATAAGCCTGTGACAGGTGGAGCTTACAGTTCAGCTTTCTTACTGGAACATCAGTAATAATGAATTGGTGGTTTTATCTGTAAAATCAACTTGGTGGTCATTTTGCTGCCCAGTGTTTTGCCAAGCTCTTGCTGTCTTATCAGCGTCTTAGCTGCTTGTCTAACCAGTCTTTAAGCATATTGACATCTAAGAATTTCAGAGAATCATACAAATACTACATGGGTCACTAAGTAGCTTGAGTTGGTAAATTTTTACTGGAGTAAGTCATGTTTGTCAGTAGTGTTTTTAATTTAGTTTTTGTTTGGTTTGTTTTTGAAGTAACTTTTATACATCTCTTCTTGTCTGTCTGGTTGTCTTAGTTGGGACTTTGACAAACTTGCAGTTCTGCTGTCCTCAGTTGACAGAGAGGAAACCTGACAGTGTTGTTAGGGGATTGCTTAGAGTATCACAGTTACATTATGCAAGAGCTGGAAAAAAGAAATTTTACTCAAGTTTCTAGTTTTTACTTAGCCACTAAGCCATATTGGTAATTTTAATTCTTAAGGCTGATTTTGAAAAGTCTTGACAGGTTTAACTACTTAAATGCATTGTCTCTTAAGTTTATAAATCTTAGTATAGGAGTAAGTTTTTAAAAAACTGAAGTTCTACCAAATTTCAACTTGAAATGTAAACATTTGATCCAGTTATCCCATTGCTAGCTAGTGCGTCTTGTGTGCAGTTCAGAAAAGCTGTTCGCTATTCAGGTCCCTCTTTGGGTGCAAGCCTATTTGTCAGCAGCAGAATTTTCTAATGATCCAGATCCTCTATGAGGCTGTAACATACAGCCACGTTCAGTGGCTGGGTCCATTTAGGCACATACATATCAGAGGCTGTCCAACTAGAACTTTGTAAATCACCTTACAAAATTAAAAAAAAAAAAAAAATCATGTTAGAGCTAAAAGACTCTAGAGTTTGGTTTTTATCCTTTTTCCTGGGGAGGGAGGGCGTGTGATAGAAAAATGCCAGGACACATAAATTTTGTATACATTTCCTGGATTTCACTGGACTCTTTAAAGGCTATCCAGGAACCCCCTCCCCCGCCCCCAATCTTTGACTCTTAGATTTTTTCTTCCTTTAAAACTGCTTGCCACCAAATCATTTCCAACTCGTGGCGACCCCATGTGTGTCAGAGTGAATCTGTGCTCCGTAGGGTTTTCTTGACTGTAATCTTTATGGAAGCAGATCGCTTGGGCTTTTCTTCCACGGTACCACTGGGAGGGTTCAAACTGCCAACTTTTAGGTTAGTAGTTTGCACCACCTAGGGACCTCCAGTCTCAGAGAAGGAAGTCTTTCCTTTTCAAAGCAAATATCTTTTTGCTGCCTTGCTAGGTTAATCCTATTCCCTTAAAGACCTTGTTTTATCAATCACTAAGCATATCTTTTGTATCCTAAATCTTCCTCCCTATAGGTCTCTTCTTACATTGTTGAAACTGCTCACACAAAGATCACCATTTTCCAAAATAGTGATTTCTTAATCCTCATTCTTAGCAGCTTTTCTACAGCATTAAAAAACCAAACCCATTACCGTCGACTTGCTTCAGTCTCATAGTGATGCTATAGGAGAGAGTAGAACTGCCCCATAGGATTTCTAAGGTTGTGATCTTTATGGAAGCAGACTGCCCCATCTTTCTCTTGCGGAGTGGCTGGTGGGTTCAAACCACCGTTTCGGTTAGAAGCCGAACACTTAACCACTGCACCACGAGGACTCCTTTTTTCAACAGCATTCACCAAACCAAAAAACGAAACTCTTTGCTGTCAAGTGGAATTCTGACTCATAGTGACCCTATAGGACAGAGTAGAACTGCCCTATAGGGTTTCTAGGGTTGTAAATTTAGGAAGCAGACTGCCACATCTTTCTCCCACCAAGCGGCTAGTAGGTTTGAATCACCGACCTTTTGGTTAGCAGCAGGCGCTTAACCACTACACCACAAGGCAAGCCTTCTATAGCATTAGATACTGGAAACTACTTCCTTCTTCCTGAAGTGCTGTCCTTCCTCAGTTACATCGAACTCCTTTGGTTCTTCAGCAAACTCCTCTGGTTCTCAATGAACATTCCTATGAGTATTCTCCAAGGTTGTCCTTAGTTGTCTGCTCACTAAATATGCACAGTCCCTTGGCTATTTCATCCACAACCAGAGCTTAATTTTTTTTTGTTTAAAAGCACCTGAGCTAGATTTGGAGTCCCTGAGTGGTGTAAATGATTAAAGCACTCAACCGCTGACTGAAAGGTTGGATGTTTGAGCCCATCTGGGACCTTGGAAGAAAGCCCTGGCAATCCAGTTCCAAAAAATCAGCCATTGAAAACCGTATGGAGCACAGTTCTACTCTGACACACATGGGGTCACCGTGAGTTAGAGTTGACTTGACAGCTACTGGTTAAGCTAGATTTATCTAAGTGTCTCTCCTGAGTTTGAATTTCTTTTCCGATTGCCTATTAGAGTGCTCCTTGCAGCCATCACTCTGAGTACTGGTCTTCCCAAACCTACTTATATTGGGTTCCTGATTTCAGTAAACATCATCACATGCTTGCAGTTGCTCAGGCTCAAAATCTCAGCATCAATCTTCAGCGCTTTCTGCTTTTTCACTGCTGTTCCCCATCCTGGCAGTTACCAAGCCCCATTGACTCTTCCTTTTAAATATCTTTCATTCACCCCTTCTTTTCCATTCTCACTACTCTAGTTATGATCCTTTTCCTCTCTTACTAAGATTATTGTGATATCAGCATCACTAGCCATCACAGAGTTGCATATCAAAGCCACAGTGAAGTACCATGTCACTCCCACTAGGATGGCTAAGATTTAAAAAAAAAAAAAACCCGAAAATAACAAATGTTGATGAGGATGTGGGGAAATTGGAACCATTACCCATTGCTGGTGGGAATGCAAAATGATGCAGCTGTTGTGAAAAACAGTGTGACAGTTCCTCAAAAAACTAAATACAGAACTGCCTTATGACCTAGCAATTTGAGTATATCCACAAAAAAGACTTGAAAGCAGAGACTCAGTGGGGGAGGAACAACACAGAAAAGGAGAGTGAGAATGGTTATGCAACTCGAAGAATGCAGTCAATGCCACTAAATCGTATATGTAGAAACTATTGAATTAGTGTATGTTTTGCTGTGTATATTCTCAACAACAAAATAAATAAAATTTAAAAAATATATTATGATAGTTGCTTAGCTAGTTCTTTATATTTCAAGGCATCTCTCTACTATACCCTGTTAATAGAGTAACATCCTGAAGCACATTTCTGATCGTGTCACTCTCCTTACTTAAAAACCTCTGACAGACTTCATTTAATATTCAAAATAAAATTAAGCATTTTAAAGTCCCTCTACTTTCTGCTTACTTTTCTGGTTGTGTGTTATATTCAACCTTAAACCATTTCTCTGAACACACCCTACATTTCTGGCCTTAAAGCCTTTGCTTAAGCTATATAGTGTGTCTCTCTCTTCCTTCAACATCCAGCTCAAAAGCTACCTCCACAAAGCCTTTCAAGATATAACCATCAAAATTAATATTTTTCTTTTCATCTCTGTTAGTATTTTGGATCTCCGTCATAACTCTTAGCACATTCTGTCCTGTGTTATAGTTATTTCTGACATCTGTCTCTTCAACAAGATTTCAAGCTAACTCATTCCTTTCATGTAGTAGGCACTCAATAAATGTTCACTGAATTAATCTAATCCAACCCTCTCATGTTATAAATGGTGAAACTGAAATCCAGGGAGGTCACACAGTGGCAGAGCCCGGACTAGCTGCCAGGTCTTCTGTCTTCTAGTTCCAAAAGTTTTCCCCCACAGTAACCTGTTAACACTGTTGTGTATCCTGTGAACATTCAGCCTGTACTGAGGTTGGACAATTCAGTATTGTACTACAGAACAAACACTGGGGCCCTGTTTACAATGTTTTCGTTTATGTAAGAAATTGTTTTTTATTTGATATCTTTGTACATATGAAGATCATGATGTATTTCTATTCTGTTTTCAGCTTCATGTTTCCGGTTGCAAGTGGAATAAGACCCCCTCAAGGTATGTAAAAGCTTAGGTTTTGAACTTTGATTTTTTGCTATTATGTTTTTGAAATTAGGGATTAAATGGGCAAAATAGAAGTTCTATTGCTGCCAAACAGAGTAAAATGTTCCTACAGTTTTGAACCTGTATGATAGTTACTTTTAAAATTTCTAAACAATTATGTAATTTCAGAGAATAATAGGTATCACTCCTCACTTCTTTCAAACTTACCTAAACATCATGTTGACAGATTGTTATTTTACCTCAGAAGTTCAAGGAGACTTCCAGGACAAGAATATTAAGAGCAGGTGACAAAAATGAAATGACCTTAGTCTCTTAATGATGTCTACCTCCTTCTAGTCTTCTGCTAGATTGTAAGCTCCAGAGGGCAAGGGGTTACATCTGCCTTACGCTTGTTAGTATCTTCAGCACCTGGCATGCTGATGGCACATAATAGGTTCTCTATAGATGTTTGTTGAATGAATAAATGAACTTCTTTAGTTATTCTATGCTGTCAGATTTTCTCTAGATGAATTTTGTCTTACTATTAAAAAAAAAAAATCCAGGTGTCATCAAGTGAACTCACAGTCATGGCAGCCCCATGTGTATCAGAGTAAGACTGGGCTCTATAGGATTTTCAACGGCTGATTTTTCAGAATAGATTGCTAGGCCTTTCTTCCAAGGTGCCTCTGGGTGGACTCAAACCTCCAACCTTTTGGTTAGCAGCCGAGTGTATTAACTGTTTGCACCACCCAGGGACTCCGGTCTTACTATAATCATATACGTAAAAAAGATCACAGAATCTGATTCAGTTTAAACCAATTAAGTCTCAGTTTTAGTCCTAGACATCTCTCCAATAGGTATACCCTTTACCTCTTGATTTCAGACAAGGGTCCAGTTATACGAATTCTAGCCTTGTCTTCAGGTAAACACTAGTAAAGAGATGTAATCTTGACACATGCTGCTGTGCAACTAGGGCACAATGTTGAAGGAGGAATGTATCTGTTCTTACCTCTCTTGCTTCTTTCTGCTCACTGCACACACTCCTGCCCCCAAGGTGCATCTGAAAACTGGTCTGTCTCACAAAGCAGTGTTGATTGGTTATGGTAGACTTGATAGAGAAATGGAGACTCCTAAGTCACCAATAGAGATGAAAGATAAAGAGCAGCTCAGTAGCAGGTCAGTGGCTCATACTGACTTTGTCTCCATTTATAATCAGCAATGGAGGTTGAATTTCAGGTAAAATTTTCCAAGGGTTAGTTGTATTCTTTTCATTGTGTTCACATTTATGCATTATTTAAGCTGTCTGTAGTTAGATGCGTCCCAGATTTATACCCAATGGTTTGAGATCTTTTGTTCTTTAGAAAGGCACTACAGAGTTATGTGTTCATTATCCTGAGGTTCATTAATTTGCATTTTTATGAACTTTCAAGCAAAAATCTACATATGGAATGAAGGAATAGGATAATAAGAGAACCCAAAAGGTTGTCTGATATTTTTTTTCTGGAATATGAAATCATTTTTGAGATTTTTTAGAAGTATGTTAGAATGAATATTGAACGATACAGGACGCATCAAAAGAAGATGGAAAGAATACATACAGTCACTGTACCAGAAGGATTTGGTCAATGTTCAACCATTCCAGGAGATAACATATGATCAAGAACCGATGTTACTGAAGGAAGAAGTTAAAGCTGCACTGAAAGCACTGGCAAAAAGCAAGGCTCCAAGAATTGATGGAATACCAGTTGAGAGGCTTCAACAAACAGATGCCACACTGGAAGCGCTCACTTGTCTGTGCCAAGAAATTTGGAAGACAGCTACCTGGGCAGCTGACTGAAAGAGATTCATATTTGTGCCCATTCCAAAAAAGGTGATCCAACAGAATGTAGAAATTATCAAAAAATATCATTAATATCACACACAAGCAAAATTTTGCTGAAGATAACTCTAAAATGGCTATAGCTGTACATCAGCAGGGAACTGCTAGAAATTCAAGCCAGATTCAGAAAAGGATGTGGAACGAGGGATGTCTTTGCTGATGTCTGATGGATCTTGGCTAAAGGCAGAGAATACCAGAAAGACATTCACTTGTGTTTTATTGACTATGCAAAGGCATTTGACTGTGTGTATCATAAACAAATTATGGATAACATTGCAAAGAATGGGAGTTGCAGAACACTTTATTGTGCTCATGCAGAACCTGTACATAGACCAAGAGGCAGTCATTTGAACAGAACAAGGGGATACTGCTTGGTTTAAAATCAGGAAAGGTGTGCGTTAGGGTTGTATCCTTTTCACCATACTTAACTGAATTTGTATGCTGAGCAAATAATCTGAGAAACTGGACTATATAAAGAAGAAACGGCATCAGGATTGGAGGAAGACGCATTAACAACTTGTGATATGCAGATGATACAACCTTGGTTACCGAAAGTCAAGAGAACTTGAAGTACTTACTGATGAAGATCAAAGACTACAGCCTTCAGTATGGATTTCATGTGAACAAAAAGAAAACAAAAATTCTCAAAACTGGACCAATAAGCAACATCATGATAAACAGAAAATATTGAAGTTGGCAAGGATTTCATTTTACTTGGATCCACAATCAACGCCCATGGAAGCAGCAGTTAAGAAATCAGACAATGTATTGCATTGGGCATTATTTGCTGCAAAGACCGCTTTAAAGTGTTAAAAGGCAAAGATGTCACTTTGAGGACTAAAGTGCACCTGACCAAAGTCATGGTATTTTCACTTGCCCCATATGCTTGCAAAAGCTGGACAATTGATAAAAGAAGACTGAAGAAGAATTGATGCAATTGAATTATGGTATTGGCAAAGAATATTGACTATACTATGGCCTGCTAGAAGAACCAACAGGTCTGCCAGAATGCTCCTTAGAAGTGAGGATGGTGAAACTTCATCTCACTGACTTTGGATACGTTATTAGGAGGGACCAATCCTTGGAGAAGGACATAGTGCTTGGTAAAGCAGAGGGTTAGCAAAAAAGAGGAAGACCCTCGATGAGATGGATTGACACAGTGGCTGCAACAGTGGGCTCAAGCATACCTCCTACTGTGAGGATGGCACAGGACCATGCAATGTTTTGTTCTGATATACTTGGGGTTGCTATGAGTTGGAACCGACTCAATGGCACCTAACAGCAGCAATGTTAGAATGGGCTTTTTTATCATTTAAAGTCTTTAAATTATGCATGGATTATTTTTAAAAGTATATACAAAAAACTGACAGCATGGGTTGCAACAGGTCATGAGTAGGTAAACAGGAAACAGGACCCCAAGGCCTTTGCATTTGCTGTTTCTTTCGAATAAAAACCAAAACCATACCCGTTGCCATGGAGTCGATTCCGACTCATAGCGACCCTATAGGACAGAGTAGAACTGCCCCATAGGGTTTCTAAGGAGCGGCTGGTGAATTAGGACTGCCAGCCTTTTGGTTAAAGCTTTTAACCACTGTGCCACCAGGGCTCTGTTTCTTTGGAATATGCTTCCCAAAGATCCGCAAGGCTGGCTCTGTTACTTCCTTCAGGCCCTTGTTCAAAATGTTACCCTGTAGTGAAACCAACCACCCCTTCCCTGACTCTTCCTTTTCCCTCTTACTCTGTTTTATTTTTGGTTTAGTTCTTACCACCAGCTGATATGCTTATTTTTTAATTCTCTGTCTCTCTCAGTTACAGTGGAAGCTCCGTGAGGGCAAGGACCTGTTTTTTTCACTGCTGTATACCTAGAATGGTACCAGGCATGGAGTAGGCCCTCAGATATTTGAATACATGATTGATTAAATGAATCAAGAAATGGCATGCTCCTAATAGCTATTACCTACAAATGTGAATGTCCATGCTTCCAAAATTAAGCTGTGTATAAATAACTTCAAAGGTACATAAAAACCTCCAGATAAACATAGTGTATCTTTCTGAGCCTTTAATTTTTTTACTTGAAAATTTGGTGAAAAGCTCCTTATGTTAGAACCAACGTGGGTATAATAGGTAGTAAAAGGCAAAATTAAAATGGAATTTGTACTCTGGCTACGTAGGGATTTTGTTTTATTCATTATTGTATACCATATAGAACTACGCCTAATGTAGAGCAGGCATTTAATATTTATTAAATGATCACATGGATGTATGTTCATTCTCCTCTGCTATTAGGATACTTCATGGGAAAAGTTTGGGAGGTACTAATCTAAATCATATTTTCACAATAGTTTTCCTGCCATTTCGTTACATACTTTGTATAGGGGTTGATGGCTGTTTTGTGGTAAATGTTATAGTAATTATTTCTGTAAGGAAAGGGAAGAGGAATAACAGTTCATTATGTACTAAACAGTTTCACAGATGAGAAACTGAGGCACTGAAGAAGTTAAGTGACCCAAGGTTCCAAAGCTAGTAAAGTGGCATTTCTAGTCAGCTTCCAGAGTTTATGCTCCTGCTATTGTATTAGTTATCTGTTGCTGAGTACCAAATTACTCCAAAACTTAAAACAATAAACATTATTTCACACTATGTCTATGGCTTGGGAATTGGGGAACAACTTTACTGGATGGTTCTGGCTCAGAGACTCTCATGAGATTGCAAGGTGTTGGCTAGGACTGGGGTCATCTGAAGGCTTGATGGGGCTGGAAGATCCGCCTCCAAGATGGCTCGCTCACATAGGTGGCAAATACATGCTCCCTTTTGGCAGGAGGCCTCAGTTCCTCCCCACATGGACTTCTCCATAGGACTGCTTGAGTATTCTCATAACATGGCACTGGCTTTCCCCAGAGAGCAAGTGATCCAAGAGAACAAGGAGGAATCTGCAGTGTCTTTAATACCTAGCTTTGGAAGTCATACACTGTCATTTCTACAATATCCTATTGGTTATATTGGTCAGTCCTATTCATTGTGGGAGGGGACAACACAAGGGTGTGAATGCCAAGAGGCAGAAGTCATTGGGGGCCATCTTGATGGCTCCATACTACAATTAGGTCATACTGTTTATCTTTTTAATACGCATAAAAATTCTGTCGAATAGATATTATTATCCTCGTTTTACAGATAAAGTTTTGTAACTGGCCCAAGATCACACAGCTATGTAAGTGACAGAGTTGGAATTCAAACTCAGACTTACTCCACAGCCTAAGTGCTTTTTCCACTACATTGTGCTGCCTTTCAAGTAACAAGTTCTTTATGTATGTAATAGTTTAAGAAAATAAACTTTTTCAAAGCACATTGACTTCAGTGATGCCTTTCTGTTTTTCAGCAGGCCTAATGCCAATGCAGCAACAAGGATTTCCTTTGGTCTCTGTCATGCAACCTAATATGCAAGGCATGATGGGAATGAATTACAGCTCTCAAATGTCCCAAGGACCTATTGCTATGCAGGTACTTGCTTCTTTATCTGATGGTTTACAGAGTTATTGTTTGTTGCTATGTGTCTGCATACTAAGAGCTTAATGTAGTATTTGGAAATAAGTATAGTCTGCTTCTTAGATGACTTTCTTCAAAATTAAATGAAGACACGTTCATAAGAGTGAGAGAAAACAAGAGAAACCATTTCGGGAAAATCTGGCGACTTTTTATTTGGATACTGGCTTAGACGAATTTAGAATGACCTTTTGGAAGATTTAGGGGACTGATTCCATGAGGTAGCATTTTTAGAAGAAGCAGCACTGTTCTCATGAAAGGAGCAGTATCATTGCTTGGAAGGCTCAGAGCTAATAATTACTACTCTTTATATTGAATTAACTCATCTGACCCTCATAACAACTTTGTAAAGAGGTCGTATCCCCACTTTTCTGATGAGGAAACTGAAGTTTTGTGAGGATACTCAAGGACACAGTGATAGTAAGCTGGGATTTGAACCTAAGTCTGCCTTCAATACCTCTGTACTTAACCACGTTATACAGTGTTCTCCCAGTGGGGGAGAAATTGGCTTTGTTGTACCGATTATGATAATGGTAAAATATTTACTGCATGCTAGATATAGAAAATAAGAAAGCAGTTGTATAAGACGTCAGCCAGAAAAAAAAAGAAATAGGCTGTCTGCTAAAAGACCTCACAAAGACATTCATTTGGGGGATAAACTAAATGCTTAAAAACCTGACTTTGTCAGCAGACTGAGAACAGACCTGTCTCTTCACTAGTCTAGCAGTAACGGCCTACATAAGACTGATAGATACAATCAGAATGGTACTTTATACATTTACAGCTAATCACACACTTAAATATGAAATGTGAACCTTGGTGAATTCTACAGAGGAAGAGTACATATGTAGTAAGAACATATAAAAGGACTTATCATCGGGAGTCAGAAAAACTTCTCTGAGAAAGTGACATTTAAGCTGAATCTGAATGAAAAGTAGATGTTAGCCAGATGAAGAGATGGGAGAAGAGCATACTGGCAGAAGGAGCTGCATTTACAAAGACTCTAAGGCAGGAGGGAGTGTGGCATGTTTGAGGAACTGAGGCAGACAGGGTCCAGGTCATGCAGGGAACTTATAGACCATGTTAAATATTTTGAATTTTCTCGTAAGAGCATTAGGGAGCCTTTGAATATTTTAAAGCAGTGGAGTGACATGATCAGATTTATATCTAAAAGATCATTCTGGCTGCTGTTTGCAGAATGATTGGAAGGAAAAAGGAGAGCAAGAGTAGACGTGGGGAAATCATTAAAACGCTGATGCAGGAGAGAAGATGAGAAATGTTGGTGGCTTAAATTAGGGTGGTGGCAGAGGGATAGAGAGATGGATGTTCTTGAGAACTGTTACAGAAACAAAATCAATAGGACTTGCTGAGTGATTGGATGTTGGAAATAAAGAAGACAGTGGTATCAAGCTGACTCCCAGTTTTCTGAGAGTCAGCAACAGAGTGGTGGTGCTGTTAATAAAGTAAACACTGGAGGAGACTGTTTGATGATATGTGTTGACTTTGAAGAACCCGTCAGACATTTAAGTGGAGCTGTCTAGAAGCAATTTAATAAACTGACCTAGAACTCAAGTTTTTCACTCTGGGTTGAAGATTATAGGTTTGGGAGGCATCAGCATATAGAGGTAATTGACGCCAGAGGTGTAAATGGGAACATCCAAGAAGACTAGACAGAGAAAATAGAGCCGTCAAGATTTCAACATTTAAATCTCAGAGAGTGAGTTGCCAGTAGAGGATATTGAAGAGGAGCAGGCACAGAAGTGGAGGAAAAAAATAAAAGAAAGCACCACGAAAAATGTCATGCCATTAAAGCCAAGGAAAGAGGAAGTTTTAAGAGAAAGCAAGTAGTTAACTTTGATAACTGCTCCAGGGAGGTAGATCATTGGGTAAAGCAAGTTACAAGGCCACGCCTAACCTCAGTGGGGCAGAGAAGTACAATCCTCCCATGTGCCTGGAAAACAGATTGGAAAATTAGGTTTAATTCCATTTGTGGAATGGCTACCGTGTGTCAGGCTCTTAGCTGTTGTTGGAATTACAGAGATATGTAAGATATGATGCCATTTCTCAAAGAGTATGGATTAGTGAGCTCATAGGACTATAAATTGTATATGCATGCTTGCATACTCACATAGCCTGAAAGACTGTGCACACACAGACACACACAGACACACACACACACACACAGACACACACACACACACACAGACACACACACACACGCACCCTAGGTAGTTAGCAGTGTTACCTCTGAGAACACAGAAGGAATGGAAATAGTGGAGATGTTAAGAGGAGCCTGTGTTCTTTGAATCTTTTGTAAGAATGCATTAATATAGTTCATAAATAAAAAAAAAATTAAGAATTTATGGAAGTTATAGTCTTTCTTTGTGATAATTAAAAGGAGAAATTTTGCTTTTTAAGCTTTTGTTTGTTTCTTCTAGGCAGGGATACCAATGGGACCAATGCCAGCAGCAGGAATGCCTTACATGGGACAAACGTCATTCCTGGGAATGCGTCCTCCAGGCCCACAGTATACTCCAGACATGCAGAAACAGTTTGCAGAAGAGCAGCAGTAAGAGACCTCTAGGATTCAAGGATAACAAAGATACATGATAGCAGTTATTTTAAAACTTATCAAATGTTCTTTAATGCAGATTTGATACCAAAACAGTCAAGTTGCCTTTAAAACTTTTGAAAATACTTTTACTATAAGTTTAGAGCCAGAAGAAACCCTAGAGATCCTCTTATTCAGCCTTCTTATTTTACACGTATAGGAGCCTGGGTTGCTTAAGTGGTTTGCAGTCAGCTACTAACCTAAAGGTTGAGGGTTCAGACCCTCCAAGCGGCTCAGTGGAACAAAGACCTGGTGAACTCCTTCTGTGAAGATTGCAGCCAAGAAAACCCTATGGAGCAGTTATATTCTGTAACGTATAGGGTCACTATGAGTTGGAATTGACCCAGAGGCAACTGGTTTGGTTTTGGTTTATTTTACATCTAGGTAAATGAGGTCCAAAGAAATGAAGCACCTTGCCAATTAAGGTGACATAGCGGTTAAGTGTTACAGCTGCTGACCAAAAAGTCAGCAGTTCAAATGCACCAGGTGCTCCTTGGAAACTCTGTGGGGCAGTTCTACTCTGTCCTATAGGGTCGCTATGAGTCGGAATCGACTCAACAGCAACGGGTACGTATGTATGTATGTAGTTTCTTAGTGCTGCTGTTATAGATTGAATTGTGTCCCCCAAAAATGTGTGTCAACGTGGTTAGCCGTGATTCCCAGTATTGTGTGATTGTCCACCATTTTGTCATCTGATGTGATTTTCCTATGTGTTGTAAATCCTACCTCTATGATGTTAATGCGGCAGGGTTAGAAGGATAATGAGGTAAGACTCAATCTACAAGATTAGGTTGTATCTTAAGTCAGTCTCTTTTGAGATATAAAAGAGAGATGCAAGCAGAGAGACGGGGGACCTCATACCACCAAGAAACAAGAGCCAGGAGAATCAGATGTCCTTTGGACCTGGGGTCCCTGTGTTGAGAAGCTCCTCAGCTGGAGAAGATTGATGACAAGGACCTTCCCCCAGAGTCGACAGAGAGAGAAAGCCTTCCCCTGGAACTGGCAGCCTGAATTCGGACCTCTCGTCTCCTAGACTATGAGAGAATAAATTTCTGTTTGCTAAGGCCATCCCCTTGTGGTATTTCTGTTATAGCAGCACTAAATAACTAAGACACAGCTACTATAACAGAAATACCACAAGTGGCTGATTTCAAAGAACAGAAACTATTTTCTCACAGTTTAGGTGGCTAGAAGTCTGAATTCAGGATGTTGGCTCTAGGAGAAGGCTTACTCTGTCCACACTGAAGGAAAATCCCTGTCTCAGCATCTGTAACATTCTTCTTAGCATTCCTTGGAAATCTCCACGTGGCATCTATCTTTCCCTCATTCTGTGCCTACTCTGCTCCTTTTATATCTCAGAAGTGATTGACTTAAGATACACCCTACACTGATACGGTCTCATTAACATAACAAAGAAAACCTTATTCCCAAATGGGACTGTATCCACATGTATAGGGGTTAGGATTCCAACACGTATTCTAGGGGGACACAATTCAATCCATAACATAATGTTACACAGTTACTAGCAAAGGTTGGACCCAAATGCAGACCTCCTGATTCCAGATCGTTGTTCTTTCTCCCAAACAACCACCTTCCCAAGTGGAAGTTTCTTTTTTGTATGCAGAGCAAAGAGTGTCTTTATGTTTGTCTACCTGCCTATCTGTTTTTGAGAGTGCTTTTACATGAAAAAAGTTGTTTCCTCCCCTGGCAAATTAGATAGGAAATAAATTCATATGTATTACTTAGGTAAAGACTCATTTCAAATATTTTGAGGTTAATATAGTAGGGAAACAGGATTCTTATAAGAACAAAATCAGATACAGTAGCAGTGGAGTGAGTTCATGGGTCTACAAAGGCAGGATGAGTATAGCACAGTTGATAATCCCTGAAGCTGGTTCTTCACCAGATTGTTTGTCTTACAGAAAACGATTTGAACAGCAACAGAGACTCTTAGAAGAAGAAAGAAAAAGACGTCAGTTTGAAGAGCAGAAGCAAAAGCTCAGACTTCTGAGTAGTGTGAAGCCCAAGGTAATGTATCCATGCCGTTCTTCCAAACGTGCCTCTTCTCACTTTTTATTGTTGAGACAGCAGCCCAAGCTGAGGCTGTGGTTGATTGATTTTGGTTTATCATGTCCCGAAGTGAAGGATTTTTCTTTTTCTGTAAAGATACTCTCTGTTGCTGAGGGGTAGGATATCAGCCATTATTTTCTCAACCCTTTTTACTACCATGGCAGTATTTGTAATCTTTTCTTGGGAACCATTAATCCTAAACTCGTGTGTCCCGTTGAGTGGATTCCAACTCATGGAGAACCTGTAACGACCCTATAGGACAGAGTAGAACTGCCCCATAGGGTTTCCAAGGCTGTAACCTCTATGGAAGCAGACTGCCACATCTTTCTCCTGCAGAGCAGCTGGTGGGTTTGAACTGCCCACCTTTTGATTAGCAGCCGAGCGCTTAACCACTGCACCACCAGGGCTCCTAAATTTACTGATACAAAAATGAGTTTCTCTTAATTCAGGACACTTAATATCTAGTAGCTCTGTCCTAAAGTATTTATAAACAAGCCTTTTAATATTTTTATTTTCAATGGAGTATCCTTTTATACATTTGTTTTATACATTTATCAGTGCCTTTTTGACTTGGGGAATTCATTTTGATAAAAATGTTGGAAATAGACGAATATCTCCACTTTTAATTTGGGAGGATTTAGAAGGAAGCAAGAAAAAGGTGAATAAACATGCATGTTTTTGTTGTCTCTTAGACAGGAGAGAAGACTAGAGATGATGCCTTGGAAGCCATCAAAGGAAACTTAGATGGGTTTTCCAGAGATGCTAAGATGCACCCTACTCCAGCATCACACCCCAAGAAACCAGGTAGTTAAAATTTTCTTTTCTTTGAAGGTGATTTATAGTCCCTGCAGTTGACCATTATATGTGTGTTAAGAGTCAGAGCTGAACTCTTCTTTCAAGCTAAGTACAAATTTGGATGTTTTAAAATTTACAGTGAGTTAACTCTTTAACAAGCGATAGCACATATATGTTCCAGCTATATTTTCTACCCCTGGAGGATTATTGGCAGATATTTGAGCCACTTTAGTATGTTCTGGCATCTTTGTGGATACTGGTGCAACTGCCTAAAAAACAAGAAAGTTGTTCTGCACCACATTTGAATGTTGAGAGCCATTCATATGAGGAGATGCTTCCCAGAGGAGTGATTGTGTCTTTTGACTTCTGTACAGCAAGATAAAGGTTGCAAGTATGTTACTGTTTCCTTTGTGTTATTGGGAAGGTATGGTTGCTGACATTCAGAAATAGTCAAGTAAATGTGTTGTTTTGGGGGTGAAAACAGTTTGTGATGCACTTCCTGGGCCATGGGACCGATATATACTGCATTTGTGATGTGCTTCATGGAACCTGGGACCAATGCGGCCTGCTTGTATTAGTCACCTGCCTGATAACATCTTTTATAAAGTGCTCGCCTCCCTGAAAACAGTTTATGATATACTTCCTGGGCAGTGGGACCAGTATGTACCACATGTGTGATGTACTTCATGGAACATGGGACCAATATGGCCCACTTGCAATTGGCACCTCATTTTTTCAAATAATAATAAAACTACCAACAAACAATGATTCAGCATCCATTCCTTTAGTGAAAAAACATGGCAGCACCAAAAAATTTAAAAAAAAAATTCACCCATGAAAGAGTTAAAAGCTCTGGTCTGGGTAACTGTTTTGGGAGGGGGGAAAAACTATCTTTGCCTGATAGTTAGATGTCAGTATAACAACTTCAGCTGTAAATCTCTATATAAATGAGTTATGTTAACATTAGTAAAAAAAAAATCTATTAACTCAAAGGAAATGTAATAAAGGAGTTTACTGTTTCATTTTTATTATTTCAATATAATTTTACTTTTTATGAGCTAGCTAAGGTTTTATTATCAGTGTAATTAAAATGAACCATTAAAAAAAAGTCACAGTTCATCTAAAGTGAGAATAGCAGCACAACTGGAAGAACACAATCGACGTGACTGAGTTGTACATGTAGAAATTTTTGAAATGGTGTATCTTTGGCTATGTATATTTTCACCAAAAAAAAAAGTCCTCCAAGGCTGAGAAAGGAGCATGTTGACATGTCGTGGGATTGTTAACCAATGTCATAAAACAATATGTGTAGTGACTGTTTAATGAGAAGATATTTGTTCTGTAAACCTTCACCTAAAGTACAATTAAAAAAAAAAAAGTTAAAAAAAAAAATCACAGGAGTAATAATGCTCCTCGTGAAATTTTAGTTTCTCTTAACACATTTCTATGTACTTTTTATCGTCAAGTAAACAAAAAGAGTGCCTGCTTTTAGAGAACGGTGAAGGGATTTTTTTGTTTTTTGTTTTGTACACTTGGCAGTTGAAATGAGTCTTGTTTTTGCATAATGGTTACTATGTTAGTTTTTAAAACAATTCAATATTTTGACATTATCAACTAATTTCAAGAATAATGTACCATTACTAGGTAAATAGTTTGCATAAATTATTCAGTCAACCAAGAAACTACTATCTTTTACTGGTACATATTATGTTAATACATTCTATCTTAAACCTTTGTACTATAATACCTTTTACCAGCGATATCAAGAGAGACTAATTGGCACCCACATTGATAACCACATTCTTGATTTTCTGGGACAGTTTGTCTCTGTCCTCTTAATTTTACTTGTTAGATTATGTACCCAAATTCCGATTCCAAAAATATACCCCAAAGTAAAAATACACCGAGACTGAAAAGAGACTGGACATTAGCAGATTGAGTTCAGAAAAGAGAACTGTCTAAAAATGAAAATTATAAAACTGTATAAACTAGTCAAGAAGTGATTTAAAAATATACACTGGAAGTTAATACTAAAACTGGACCTTGCATAGAACCTACAAAAAAGAGAAGAAGGCAGAGAGGATGGTCGTTGTTAGGTCAAGCATTGTTCAGTCCATGTTGTTATTGGTTGCTGTCAGGTTGATCCCAACTCTTGGTGATCCCGTGTGTGCAGAGCAGAACTGCTCCATGGGGTCTGCAAGACTGTGACCTTTTAGAAGCTGATTGCCAGGCCTGTCTTCTGCGGTGCCTCTGGGTGAGTTCGAACTGTCAACCTTTCAGCTAGTAGTCAAGCGCTTAACTGTTTGTGCCACCCAGGGGCTTCTCAGTCCACATAAAATGCCCTTTTTGGACAGCCAGCTGTAGTTTAACAATGAGTATTCGTCATTGTTAAATAATAAATTGAAATTTTGATGTTCAGACAGTCTCATGAGTTCAGTCAACATGCGTGCAGTTAACAGTTTCTAGTTAACTGCTTCATGCTGAGTCAGAAAAAATGTTTCTGAAGCAAGCCTAGGAGTTTCCAGTGCCTCTCCAATTAGGGTCTTAAACCTAGGCCCAAAGTACAGTTTATAAAAAGAGTTTCCAGCCTTTGCACCACCAAGGGCATCTTTTCATTTTCCCCTATAGGCTGTTTTTTCTAAGACACTTAACGTACACTATATTTATGACATAATTCTAGTGATTTTTATTAATCATATGTACAGCTGTGAGAGTTTATGAGCCAAAATATATACCACATAGAATGAATGTAATTCCAGACAAATATAAAGAAACATTGTTTGAGCCTTTGCAACCTTACTGCTAGTAAATAGGCAAGATCCATTATGTCTTTTAAAAACATTCAAAGTTGTTCTCAGATTTCCATTACTTCTACTTTGTGCCAGTACTGGTCCAAGAAGGCTTTTTTTTTTTTTAAACAAAAAAATTAAGGCAATAATTTTGAATATTCATTATGTGTCTTTCATAGAACTTTACATGCTTCCAGTTTTTATTTTATTGATCCAAAAGAGAGGTAGTAAGCCTGTAGTGTCCCCATTTTCAGATGAGAGCCTTTTTTTTTTTTTTAAAGACCACTCCTTGTAATTTTAAAACCCATTGCCATTGAGTCGATTCTGACTGATAGAGACCATGTATGTTACAGATTATAACTGCTCCATAGGGTTTTCTTGGCTGTAATCTTTAGGGAAGGGTCCCTGAGTGGCGCAAACAGTTTGTATTCAACTGTTAACTTAAAGGTTGGCAGTGCCGTGGAGAAAAGGCCTGGCAATCTGCTTCCATAAAGATTACAGCCCAGAAAACCCTGTGAAACAGTTCTACTCTGTAACGCATGGGGTCACAGGAGTCGAAATTGACTTGATGGCAACAGGTTTGGTTTTTGGTTTTTAAAATCTTTACAGAAGCAGATTGCCAGGGCTTTCTTTCGAGGTGCTGCTGGGTGGGTTCAAACTGCCAATCTTTAGGTTAGCAGCCACTCAAAAACTGCTTGCACCACCCAGACCACCCACTGTGACATTAGTCTTTAATAAATATTAAAGCAATTCAAAGTAGTTAAAAATGTGAAGAAGTAACAGTAATATTGTTAATGAACCTCTTATCAAATGTAGTAGAGCAGGTTTATTACATAGATGAATCTCACATTTAACAGTGTGAAAAACCATGGTGATGTTTATATCCTTTAGTGCCAGAGATCTTTTAAACATAGTCATTGGTCAAGGTTGACTTTCGTAAGTTGGTTGTTGAATTGTTTGCTTTACTACTTTATGGTCTCCCAATTTTTATGCTTTTCACAAGAAAATATCACCTTGGGAATGTGTGTAATGTTCTTGTTATCTTTTGTAATTTTCATTTCTTATATTGTAACTTCACTGAAGTGTGATTTATGCCAAGTGTATGGATCAGACATGAGATGTTAAAAACTACAAGTTTATATTGTGCATTGTTCCTTACTGTTATCATGAAATTTAAACATTAGATTATTTTTGTGTCCAGAATGTAATGTGTTCAGCAGCATATAAATAGGTGTTCTTACATCTGTTTTTGGGAGAATATCATCCAGATAAACAGTTCATTTGGGTTTCAAAAGTAATTACCACTTTAATGTAAATTATTACTGGTTTCAGTCAAGAAGAAAAACTAGTTCTAACCTAACCAAAGAAAGGAAGAAATTTTGAGTTCTATGGGAGTTTTTTTGTTGTTTATTTTTGAACTAAATGCAAAATAGCTATAAAACCTCCCTTTAAAAAGTCAAAGTTGTGTATAAATAGATATCAAAGTGTTTTTGCATGCATTGTGTAATTCCATTTGACTATGGTTACTTATGTTATTTCTTGTTCACCTCCACTATTCATATTTCAGCATATTCTTTTGGAATTGTACTACATCTTGATTTCTTTTTCCCTGTTGGTTTTCATTTCTATGTGTTTCATTTCCATTTTCCATTTTGCAGATTGTCCCACATCATCTCATTCTACTGTCACTGTCTCCCCATCACCTGCCTTTCTTGATGAAGAAGAATTCAGTGACTTTATGCAGGGGCCTGTTGAAGTTCCCAAATGTGGGCCTTCTTCCACTTCCCAGCCTTTTCAGTCTTTCCACCCCACCACCCCAGCTGGCCAGTTGCATACACAGAAGGTTGGGGCACAGCCTCTCCCTGCAGGTCAGATTCCAGTGTCGTTTGCCTTACCTGGTATCCCTGGGCAAATTCCTTATTTCTCTACTGCTTCAGCCTCACACATTGTACAGAAAGCAGGTAACTCCTAGAATTATTAATGAAAATGTTTTTACGATAATCTAGGAAAATTTACTTCTGTTACATAAGCAGAGTAATGTAGCAATGTTGGTAAAGAAACCTGTACGTTAATTGCATGGGTTTTTTTTGAAACCCACAAAAATAGAAGTCTAGATTTTTTGATTCTGGGGACCTTATGTTCCAGAAAAGTGATTTAGAACTTTTGTTCCTAAATTAGGATCTTTGTAAACTACCTTACAACTTTAAAAACAAACTGATTTCTTAAGGAGATTACTCTTTTGTTTGGGAAAATCACCGATATCATTTTCTGAAGAATAATGAGCCAGGGAAAACTGCTTTAGCAAGTACTTTGTCTGGTTCAGTGACAGAGCACTTGGGGTCAGAAGGCAGTTTGTCCTTGGACAAGTCTTTAGACATCTCTGCGCCTCAGTTTTATCCTATGCAATAATGGGGGCCATTATACACTGTATCTTGAGATACAGTATAGTGATGGGAGAGATCTGAGGAGACATGTACTTAATCCAAACTCTCATTTCAGAGATGTGGAAACAGACCCAGAGATTATGTTACTGGCCAGCAGTCTTCCCAGTAGTTAGTAGAAGTGTCTGTATCTTTTGTAGGTTTCCAGATTTCAAAGTTAGTACTCCTTCCCCGATACCATTCTCTCTACTCTCTCATAGGATTCTTGAGAATCAAAGTAGAAAATGTACGTATAAGTCCTCTAAAATCTCTGAAGCCTCTCAAATTTTATATAAATGTACAGTGATTTAATTCAGGTTTTTATGTGGCAGGCCCTTCCCTGGAGAATATGGGGGTGGAATGGATGATGGAAAAGATTAGAAATATACAGTTAGATACAAATAATTCTTCGTGCTGTTTGTTTAGGCCCTTCCTTGGAGGAGAAGCTCCTAGTATCTTGTGACATAAGTACATCTGGGCAGGAACGAATTAAATTAAATACTTCTGAAGTTGAGCACAAAGCCCTAGGCCCAGCTTCCAGTAAGAACCATCCCAGTTTAACAGCCAGTAGCTGGGGTGCTGTCAATGGACGCGTAAGCGGTGCCACCACAGCAGAGGCAGAAAAGACTTCAGACCAAAACCGGTCAATTGAGAGTGGTGAGCTCATGAAACATTCAGCAAAAAAATTCGTTTAACCAAATGTTGCTTAAATGCTAACATCTTAAGCATTAATCTTAAAACGAATGCTGCTTCATTTTGCTAGTTGAAATCTTGCTTAAAATAAAGTTAATGCATCCCTTTCTCTAATTAACCACTAAGATTTTGCTCTGAATTCTTTCAGCACACTATTAGGCCTTCTTAGAAAACAACCAGTTTTCTTAATCAGAATCATTCCTGTTTTAAAACTTCCTTTCCTCTTATTTTATAAAAGCTATCTTTTTTTTCACCTTACAATTTCCGTTCTTCCATAAAGATTGAGAAGTTAAAATTACAACTTGAAAAGTCACCAATGAGAATATAGTTTTGCTTTGGCACAGTGGTTAAGAGCTCCACTGCTAACCAAAAGGTTGGCAGTTTGAATCCCCCAGCTGCTCCTTGGAAACCCTATGGGGCAGTTCTACTCTATCCCAGAGGGTTGCTATGAGTCGGAATCGACTCAACAGTGACAGGTTTGGTTTTTTGTTTTTCTCTGAAATAAATCATAGGTACTGTAGCCTGAAAGATCCAAATTTTATAAATTCAGCTCACAGAGAGGAATTAGAATGTGGGCAGCCCAGGAGGCAAACTTTTAGAGCATATTTTATTGGCCGAGAAATTATTGGATTGTGCTAAAAAACAAAGCAGAACAAAAACCCTATACATCTAAGGTAGCGGTTGTCATATTCAAATTAAAAATCAGACTTTGGGAAGAAGCAGTATTAAAAGCTGTAAATAAAGCTTGGGGCAATTGAATTTTTTATACATATATGTTTTTAAACCAGTGCCTATCATGTTTTTTCCTTTCATTTGTAATACACATGACATGGTACAAACCACATACGATTCAGAATATTGATTCGGTATATTTTAGTTTTTCTTTAGTTTATTCTTTAGGGCATTCTTAATGTAGAAGAGTTGTTTAGAAACCAAATATTTTAAGTTGTATTGGTGACTTTTTTTTTTTTTTTAAGTGTCTCCAGCCAATGCTTTTCTATAAAAAACCGTGGCTCCGTGTGATTTCCTTATCTTCCACATGGACCATTAGATACCTTAGAGAATGTTCCTAATGTTCCTTATCTTTTAGGTGTGGGAGTATTTCCCTCACAGGATCCCGTTCAGCCCAGAATGCCTCCTTGGATTTACAATGAGAGTTTGGTTCCAGGTAAGAGTTTCCTTGCTCAGAATCCCTGTTAACTGTTGTGGTTAAAAAATATATTGTAATCCACATTTATAATCCTAGATGTAAAATCTGTGTTTTAAGCATTTTTCTCTGCCTGCCTTAACCCTACTCACTCTCATCCCCAACAGCTCCTCTGACTAGGGTTGTCAGATTTAGCAAGTAAGTAAACAGGATGCCCAGTTAAATGTGAATTTAAGATAAACAAATAATTGTTTAAGTATGTCCCATGTAGTGTGGGTGTCCTGTACTTCACATGGCCACCCTACCTCTTGTTCCCACTTTGTTCTTTGGAAGTCCCAGGTGATTATGAACAACTCCACCATTGTCTCTTCTTTTTTCAAACACTTGTTCTGCTTCCTCACCTTAACTGAAAGCAGATCTTTCCCTGAAGATTCTGGATTCTGTTTCCATAGCACCTTTCCCAACAGTATTTTCTCTCATAGCCTCTGATTCATTGGGCAGGGAGAAAGGTGGTGTTGGTATAATTCTTCCTTCTTACTGCTATTTTCAAACTGTTTCCATCATTTTTCCTCTTTTATTTCTTCTCTTTTAAAGTACGTAGCATCTGCTTATACCACCTCCATCTTATTGTCATCACAGCCTTCTACTGAATTGCAAGACTTCTCTAACCTTCAGCCCTTTATCTTTATCTTTAGGACCAAGTTCTCATCTCTTTTCTGAACTTCAAACCCTAATTGTCTGCTGGGCATTTCCACTTGGATATCTTTACAGCAGTTTGATTTAAGATTTAAGATTATTTTTGTATAGCAACAGCAACAATAAAAAAAGATCAATCATTTGTAATGCATTACGTTTGTAATATGGTCTTTCTTTTAATAGATGCCTATAAGAAAATTTTAGAAACCACAGTGACTCCAACTGGAATAGATACCGCTAAACTTTATCCCATTCTGATGTCATCTGGACTTCCCAGGGAAACTCTTGGACAGATATGGGCCTTAGCTAATCGAACTACACCTGGCAAACTTACTAAAGAAGAACTTTATACCGTTCTCGCCATGATAGCAGTAACACAGGTAGACAGTGTTTCTTAAATTAGATCAAATAACTTTTCAATATAAATTGAAAGAATATGAATCGTTTTTTGACTATAACACTATAGAAATCTGTACATTGAAATTTAGATTATTTTCAGGATACAGTACTGTAAAAATTCATAGCTTATGTAATGTGCATACTAGCAAAATATTCTTTTGCTTAAAGAATGTTTAGTATATTAGCATTCTCTGGAATAGCTATATGCCTTCTGAACTTGAGAGCTAGTCAGGAATAGGTAAAATTACTCTCTCTGTCCTTTGAAGTCCTTGGTTAAAATTCCTTAGATATAGATATTCTCTTAGATGTAGTATTTTCAGTCTGGTAACAGTTTTTCTCATATTACACAATTATTTTGAATGATTTGATTGTGGTAAATTAACCAAAATTGTCAGAGAAGAAAATGTCAGAAATGATATGTGTTGGCAGTTTCCTTGCTCAGTATTACGTTTTACATTAAGTTTGTTACTTTTGGTGGGGGAGGTGTCAAATTCGTAAGTTTTGGGAGAGTCAGAGTAGAAACATACCAGGGCTACAGGTTTTCTATTTAGGTCTCTGTTTGCCAGATTTAGATGGTGTATGGTTTGCAACCCCCCAAAATGTTTCCATTTTCCTCCTATTCCCTATAGAGGGGAGTCCCTGCCATGAGTCCTGACGCTTTAAACCAGTTCCCAGCGGCTCCTATTCCAACTTTAAGTGGCTTTCCTATGACTCTTCCTACCCCAGTGAGTCAGCCAACTGTGATGCCTTCAGGCCCTGCAGGCTCCACGCCTCTCAGCCTGGGACAGCCAGTCATGGGCATTAACCTTGTTGGACCAGTGGGTGGAGCTGCAGCTCAGGCTTCCAGTGGCTTCTTGCCAACTTACCCTGCAAATCAGGTAAATGGAGAAGCTGTGCATATTCCAAATAATCCCTGAAAGTGAATCTTGGCAACTTTTTTTCCAGGGATGCATACAGAATATTGCTGGATTGTGATGGACACTTGAGATGAAAAATGAACAGTATTCAAACAATACAAAATTAATTTTTTTATTATTTAAAAAACATAAAGATGTTTCTTAAGCCTTAAACTGTTTGAATTTTAGCTGAAGATTTATCGTTCTTTATAGTATATACATTTTAACCTCAAACCTAAGAAAAGAAATTTTTTGACTGTGTATTTTGAGGAAGCTGCTAAGGCTGAAGTTAAAGTACCTTAGTTTATTTTTTCACTTCTCAGATTAGCAAAATTTAAACAAATTTATAATATTTACTGTCAACGAAAATGTAGAGAAAGTGACTAATATACTGTAGGTTTATTCCTGCAACCTTTTTGGAAGGCAGATTGGCAATAGCTCTCAAAATTTTAAATGTCTGTGTCTTTTGACCTAGCAGTCACAGCATTAGGAATCTATTAGTAACTCAGATTAGCAAAGCTATATAATAATATTTGTTGTAGCATTGTTTGTGAGAATAAAAAATTAGAAATTGTTAAATATCTATCGGGGAAAGATTAGATAAATTTTGGTTCATCCATATAGTGGTAAACTATTTGGTCATTAAAATAAATGAGATAGATCTACATGTACTGCCTGGAAAAATGCCCATGTTATATGATTACATTGTTTTAAAGTACAGAACAATATACTATAAGCTCATTTTTTCTCTAAAACAAATGAACTATTAGTAATACTTAAAGTTGCTATGAGTTGGAATCAACTCCATGACAATGGGTTTGATTGTTTTTGTTTTGTTTTTTTAATGTCTGGTCTGTCCAGTAACCCAATAATTGCGATTTGGCTGTTAAAAGATTGTATAGATTCATTCTTTAAACCACTGTGTTACCATTTGTACCAGAGAGCGTATAAAAATACAAAACAAGATTCTTTTTTAAGCACTTAAGTTGATGATAGGTCTGAAGAACGTTCTTCTGAAATTAGGTAGTTGTACCTAAATTGAAGAATTTAAAATGCAGTCTTTGCAGCTGACAGTTGAGAATTTGTTGTTAACTATTTTATCAATTGGATGTTGTTTTCAACTTAAATGTCCCCTGTAAACTTAGGTAATAAAACCAGAAGAAGACGACTTTCAGGATTTTCAAGATGCTTCTAAGTCCGGATCCCTTGATGACTCATTCACTGATTTCCAAGAGTTGCCTGCTTCTTCAAAAACAAGTAATTCCCAGCAGGGAAGCAGGTAGAAAAGAGTTGAATATATTTAACATTGTATTTAATAGTTAAAAAAGAAACATCCACAATGAGAAGACTAAGTATAATAAGAAAATTGAGACTCCTTACTCTAATATTTTCCTTGATTATCCTGTCTTTATTCATACGTTTACTCTTCTCACTTATTTCCCCTTTGTCCACCTTAAACTTCAGCTCCTACCATTTCATCCCTGTATACACCTGCTTGCCAGTTTTTTTTTTGCCTGTGCTAAACCTGATTTATTATAGCTGAGTGCACATGTGTGATGATGACTTCATGTTCTTGTATTAGGTCCAGATCTTCAACTGTTGAAAAACTCTTTAGGCAGGGAAACATAATTTGATATTTTGTAGTATAATGATTTTCCACAGAAGTCATAATTTAGTAATCTAAATATAATTATTTATTCATGTCTCTCTTATATTTAAGTTGAGAGCAGCAGGTTTTAAGCCTTCAGATTTCTGTTTGTTTGTTTGAATAGACAGTTGCACAAACATATCTCTAACGTTTTATGTACTAACTTAACTTTTAGGTACAGTAACTGATTCAGTATATTGTCAACACCTCCCCATCTTGTTTTTTGAAAAAGTGTTTAGATATTTCTTCCACAGAGCGGAACACACTGGACTTTGAATAAGCAATATCAGTGTTTTTGGTTTTATATTTGGAGCTTGTTTCTGGCAGGATACATAGTCCATTTCTCTTATGTTCCTATTTTTGCAAGTTGGTTATCTCTTGCATTTTAACCAGTTGATCGTTTTTTAATTAACACCTTCTGCCTACCCACTATAACAAGAACTCAGAGGTAGAGAATTACAAATTAAGGAAAGACATTATTCTCCTAATTTTAAGAATACATTAAACACATAGAAGAAGAAGAAACAAAGAGCCCTGATGGTGCCGCAGTTAAGCACTTGGCTGCTAATGGAAAGGTTGTTGGTATGAACTCACCAGCAGCTCTGTGGGAAAAAGATATGGCAGTCTGCTTCCATAAAGATTTACCGCCTTGGAAACTCTGTGGAGCAGTTCTCCTCTGTACTGTAGAGTCACTGTGAGTGGGAATCAACTTGGCAGCAATAGGATAGAAGAAACATGATGTATGTCACTGTAAAAAAATGGGATTTCAAGACCTCTACACCTGGCTAACCTTATAGACACATAATATTTCTATCCCAGATCTCTTTCTTTGAAAAAAATTTATACATTCTGCTGCTAACTTGTCATCTCTATCTGAATAACCCAAGACATCTCAAATTCACTGTATAAAATTAGACTCATTATTTTCCTACTCAAAACTAAATAAAAATTTTTGTTAAATCATTGTTCCCTGCCTTGGTGAATGATGTCACCATAGCCAGTCACCAAATCAGAAACATGAAATTTATGTTTGACTCCCTTCTCTCTCCGTTGCTAATATCAACTCTGTCAGCTCTGCTTGGCATGGGATAAAGCCTTCCATGATCTTGTTCCTGTGTACTTTGTTGACTCGTTCAACTTTCCCCATGGCTTATATTCCAGTCATGCCAAAATGACTTCACACTGACTGTGCTCTCTCAAGCTTCTGGCCTTTGTGTGTTCTGTTTTCTTATGTCCAAAATACACTTAACTATTTTCTGTAGTAAATTCTAGTTCCACTTCAAAAATTGGCATTCTTAACCCTTTCTCCATCAACCCCCACCCCCAAAATGAGTAAGGTGCCCTCCCTCTCTACTGCCATAAAACCAGTTGCCGTCCAGTCGATTCCAAGTCAGGTGACTCCATATGTGTCAGAGTAGAACTGTGCTCGATAGGGTTTTTAGTGGCTGATTTTTTGGAAGTAGATTGCCAGGCGTTTTCTTTCTTGGTGTACTCAAACCTCCAACCTTTTGCTTAGCACATTGTACCTTATGAATATCTCTGCCCTAGTTACGTTGTAGTTACTGGTTCATTTGACTGTCTCCCTCACTAGGCTGTAAGTACCTGAAGACAATCTGTCATATTTATATACATAGGGCTTAGCCTAGGATATGTAATTAGTAAAGGTTTCTTGGATGACTATATTATAGTATGTAGGCTATAAACTGAATTTATCAAATCAGTGATTCATTCTTTTGGCGGGGGAGAAATCTCAGTAGTTGAAATTACAAATTGGTGGTAGAAAAGTTTTATGATGCTGGCCAGACCTGAGACATACAGGGTACTAGCAATTTTATATGGGGTTATCTCCACATAATAGCTTACTTTCATATATAGCCATTCTTCATAGGTGTTTCTTTTAAAGTTCTGACTTGACTACTTCCGTGCTTTCCTTGAATGAAAATATTTTGCTGATGACTGAAGAGTCGACACTCATTATCATTTATTCATTCTGCAAACATTTATTTAACATCTGCTATGTGCCAGGGAGGAAGCCCTAGTGGTGTAGTGGTTAAGAGTTCAGCTGCTAACCAAAAGGTTGGCAGTTCGAATCCACCAGGCACTCTTTGGAAACCATGTGGGGCAGTTCTACTGTGTCCTCTAGGATCGCTGTGAGTCGGAATCAACTCCATGGCAACGGGTTTAGTTTCGGGTTGGTATGTGCCAGAGGAGCCCTGGTGGTGCTATGGTTAAGAGCTCAGCTGCTAACCAAAAGGTCAGCAGTTTGAATCCACCAGCCACACCTGGGAAACCCTATGGGGCAGTTCTACCCTGCCCTACAGGTTCGCTATGAGTCAGAATCAACTCTATGGCAACAAGTTTGGTTTTGGTTTTATGTGCCAGAAGAAGTACAGCTAGAATGCTTCTTAGAAGCAAGAATGGCGAGACTTCATCTCATGTACTTTGGACATGTTATCAGGAGGGACTAATCCCTGAAGAAGAACATCATGCTTGGTAACGTAGAGGGTTAGCAAAGGAGAAAAAGACACTCAGCAAGATGGATTGACACAGTGACTGCAACGAAGGGCTCAAGTGTAGCAACAATTGTGAGGATGGCGCAGGACTGGGCAGTGTTTTGTTCTGTTGTAGGTGGATCTGCTATGACTCAGAACCCACTCAGTGGCACCTAGCAACAATGTGACAGACATTGGGATAGGCACGAGACGTACAGAAGCAAAAAACCCAGTTCCTGTTCCAAAGAAGTTTAGTTTTATCTGGATATTTATATTAGCTAACACAGCTCTCTTAGCATTAGTGCTAAAATGTATATTAAATGATTTTCCTAATTTATAATAATTTGTATACCACATTGTGAGTTTATTTTTGAAAGAGATTTGTTAAATCATGATATGAGTAGTTGAGCCTAGGTAAGACCACTTTCAACAGTGTTTTAAAATAGAAAACAGACATTTCTTGTCAGATAACTAAAAAGGCACATAAGTTGTGAAAAGTAGGCTAGAGTTTAGAGTATTTTTAGTCTGTGAGAAAATGATGTTAGTAAAACGAGCTACCACAGCCACATAACGTGATTGTAAAACATAAATGTATCACTGCAGAGAAAGAGCAAAATACTTGTTTTTAGTGGCTGTATTCTCTCTCTCAAGGCTTAACCTTTCAATTGAATGTAGGTTATTAAATTTTAAAACAATAGCTTTCTCCCTTGAGTACCTTACTTTATTATTAAAGAGTAGAAATAACTGTTTTCATGTTTGGAACCGGTAGTGACTGTGATATATAACTGGCCGAAACACTTTCATGGTGATTACAGTGGTTTCTTTAATAATAACTTCAGAGAAAACTGGAATGAATTATTCATTGGCAATATGCATAAAATTACAGTCTGAGTCATAGTTTTTTTTTAATGGAATTTTATTTTGTTGACCTCAGTCAACAGTACTTCATTACCCTGAAGATGCTCTATTCCCAATTCTGTAATATAATTTTAAAATTGATAATTTTTGATTAAATGTCAGATTTAGAAAGATTTTATTTGACTACAGCTAAAGTTGGAGAGCCATGAAAAACAAATAGATCATTCAATCTTGTGGTGTTTTCCTAAGATACTAATTAACCTTATTCCTATGTCTAACGTTGTGTACTCTGAGCTGTAGTTCAATTACTTGTGGAACTTTAAAAAATCCACCTATAATGTATAGATGATTACCTATTACATTTGTCAAGATCAAATATGTCGAAGCTGTTTGGCAGTGATGTGATGTGAGATTAAATTATAGCTCCATCATACTGTTTGATGGCACTAAGTCCTAAAGCACTGTGGTCTCCATTAGCATGCATATGCTAGAGCCAGGCTTTTACCATGCTTGTAGGCCTCTGATAAGAAGATTTCAATGACTGTGGAAAGATTTTTGCTCCAAGGCAAAGAACTCAATAGAAATCCATTTATATAATGTGTGTGTGGTAATGAATGACACAAACCAGTGGCAGGGAATGTAGTCATTCATATGTAAAGGTTTGTTCTTCCAGGGAGCTGCCTGGGTCTGATAAGAAAAAGAAGAAAGAAAAAAAAAAAGGCAATACTTTTATAGTATGTGTTTAAGCCTTCCAAGAATTACCCACACAGACACTACTCATTACACTATTTTTCCATCCAGTGAAAAATATGTTCACAGGCAAAAGTATCTTTATCTAATTTTGAAGTGTTTGTTGTTTTGCTACAAAGATAGCTTCGAATTGCTGATGTGATCCTTGTAAAAATGCAGATTGTATTGCTGCTTATCAGATATGTGAACTTCTGCCAGTAAGCAGTGCAATATGATCAAAGGAAGAACAATTTACATCTTGGCTTGAACAACATTTCATAAATAGATTTTTAACTTAAGTATTCCACCTTGCACTCTGAACCTATTTTAGAGAAGAATTTATATTAAAGTTAACATAATTTACTTTAAAATATAGTTTCTTTCTCAGATTGGTTATACATATTTGGAGCAGTTTACTTTTGCAGTTTTACGAACCTTAAGTTAAAACTGCAGAAGATCATCATTCTATAATAATCTACTTCCAGCACTATTCCAGTCTTTATTATTATGACTTAAAGAGATGGTTAGCCATTCAGCGTGGATCTTATCCCTCTTAAAGTAAATACACAGCTTCTATATTGCAGTGAGTTTGTAAATATTGTTCAGTGCCTGGCCAAGAAATATGTTAACTTTATATATAATTTTTTTTTTTCTCCTCAAGAAAAAGGGCATTTAGTTATTTGTAATGTTGTATATGTAGTTCCCAAGTTTTAAAGCAAAAAGCCAGGTGTTTCAGCTAGGTGCCTATTTGCCGTTTTAATTCTAATCTCCTATCTGATGATAGGAGTCCTGGTGCCGCAGTGGTTAAGAGTTTGGCTGCTAACCAGAAGGTTGGCAGTTCGAATCCACCAGGTCTAGACTTTAAGAAATGTTTCTTTCTCCCTTTTAGCGCCCCTTCTTTGTTGATACCACTTCCTGGAACTAAAACATCGGCTTCAATGGATAAATATGCTGTGTTTAAAGGAACTGCAGCTGACAAGACCTCTGAAAATACTGTTCCATTTGGAGGTAAAAACAGTTTGTAAATTCATAAACCTGTGAATGTAACATTTGATTGAATTGTATGAGTCTTTGTTTTTAGTGGCATCCTTTTATGTTAAATGTGTAAAGTCCTTATATTGCATGGCAGGTATGCTTGGTTGACCTAATCTGCCTTACTTTCTTGAGTTGTGATCTCAAGATTCCTAACCTTAACTGAACTTCTGTTTTTACATCATAGAGCCTGGTGATAAATATAGTGCTTTCAGAGAACTTGAACAGACAGCAGAGAGTAAATCTTTAGGTAAGTTTTTGATTCCTTCAGTGGATAAATTATTTCCATTTTTTAATAAAAGGGACTTTGATGGTTCTTTAGTGACACTCCTGAACTGAATGGGTAAAAAAATATAGTGTAGTGGTGATTATTATGATTCATTATTCAAACTGGAAATATTTTATTCAATAAACCTCAATGGGTACTTACTATGTTTAATAAATATTGTGATAGGTGCTGGGCGGGGGATTAGTTTATGCAAGAGGAATAAGACTTTTTGTGTGTGTGTGGCTCTGGAAATTACAAGGAGGCAAAATATGGGAATTATTTTCTAAAATTTAGGGCAAACCACAAACGGACACAATTTCCTCTGAAGATAGTGTATTCTTTCACTGGAAGCCTTCAAACCAAGTTCAATTCCTGTGTCAAATGGAAGGCTGTGACTGCGTTTGGTTATTGTAGGTGAATTCAGAGGTATTCAACAAGACCTGAACTGTTGATAGTGCAGCAATCTATGGACTGTGCACTGGCAGCAAATAGTCTTTTACTGTTTAAGATTTTCAAGATTGGCTGTAACTTAATGAGAAAAACGAAGAGAGAGGTGTTTTTGTGTATATGCGGTTTCCAACTCTGATAAAAGGGCTTGAATAGATTAAAAGGGAATAGAGAATGATCTTGAAAGCTATATATATAAAGACAGAGTTATGTTTGGGGTTAAATTCAACAATAAACATAGTGTTTGGGGTTTAGATAATCCATAAATCAAATTATGCCCTCCAAAATTTAGCTGTGAATGCTATAAAGTATGTATACTTTAATAAGGATTTCATTCAGGCAACGATACCACATTTTATCTTTATGTACTGAATCCTCAAACTTGGAACATCCTTCAAAAATCATTTATTTCCACCCTTCTGCCTGGGTTGAGGAGGAGGGAGATTATACAAAAGCAAGGTAGGTATGATAGAAACTGTACTACTTAAACATCTCTGAAAAGGGAAACCCACCTCTTCTAAGAATATTCAATCCCTTTACAGCACTTAGGTTCTGGAAATATTTTCTTGTGTTTCATCCAAGCCTTTAGGATGTAATATGTATTTCTCCTACAGAACCTGTATCAGGAGTAGAAAGATAAGCCCTAGAGGAACTTTTGGCTTGTTAAGTTTTCATTTAACTCCTAGCAATGCTTTCATCGATTCTTTGGCCAAGATAAGTTTGGAGTAAAGAGCATGATTTAATGTCAAGGTTGTTTGTGGAGTATGGTATTAGTGATTACATAGCATGTGTTTTATTCCTTGAAAGACCATGGGGAAAGACAACGGTGCCGCCAAAAAGTAAGCAGTACTTTCACTGATTGCCGACTCATGGTGACCCTGATTCTCACGTGTGTCAGAGCAGAACTGTGCTCCATAGGGTTTTCAGTGACTGATTTTTTGGAAGTAGATTATCAAGTCTTTCTTTTGAGTTGCCTCTGGATGGACTCAAACCTCCAACCTTTTGGTTAGCGGCTAAGTACATTAACCGTTTACACCACCCAGGGACCCCTCTTAAGCAGTGGTTAGTGTTGTTAAGTGCCGCAGAGTTGATTTTGACTCAGAGAGACCCCATGTGACAGAGTAGAAATACCCCATGGGGTTTTCTAGGCTGTAATCTTTAACAGAGCAGATCACCAAGTCTTTCTCCCACAGAGCTGCTGGGTGGGTTTGAACCACCAAGCTTTTGGTTAGCAGCTGAGCGCTTAATCATTGTGCCACTGGGGCTCCTAGCATTACTTTAAACCCGTTGCTGCCCAGTCAGTTCCAACTCATAGTGACCCTGTAGGACAGAGTACAACTGCCCCATAGAGTTTCCAAGGCTGTAATCTTTATGGAAGCAGACTGCCACATCTTTCTCCCATGGAGCAGCTGGTGGGTTAGAACCGCTGACCTTTCAGTTAGCAGCCGAACACTTTAATCCCTGTGCTACCAGTGATCCTAGCAGTACTTTAGTCATCCCTTTATTGACATAATCCTAGATTATTGTTGTCATTTTGTTTGCTTGCTTTTATTCCTATCTTAACTTTAATTCTACGGCCTTCCAACCGGAGATGCCAACTTAGTTCATTTAAAAACAAACCAAACCCATTGCCGCTGAGTCAATTCTGACTCATAGTCACCTATACGACAGAGTAGAACCGCCCCGTGGGGCTTCCAAGGAGCGACTGGTGGATTCAAACTGCCAACCTTTTGGTTAGCAGCTGAGCTCTTAACTACTGCGCCACCAGGGCTCCATCTTAGGGGAATATATTTTATAACTCTTCATGGAGTGATATTGTTTTTATACTCTCATTAAAAACACATTGGCCTCACCTCATCAAAGTATGTAAAGACTGTATCTTAGAATTTATGGAGACTCTTATGCTATTTTGTTCAGAGCTGTGGGTTTCTTAGATTATTAAATGACAGAATTTAATAATGTTTCTTTTTTCTACCCCCACAGTTTAAGCCATAACCTAAAGTAGACGAAGAAAATGTTCTGTATAAAATAGTGACACTTCTTATTGAAATTTTAGCAAAATATGATCTCTTTTGAGATGTTCTTTGGGTCTAAAAAGTGACAATTAGAGAAGGAAGCTTATGAGGACTCAAAAGTTAACTAAAAAACTATCCATGAAATAATTTTCTTAATGTACCTACTGATATGCAAACTTCTAATGATTGCAGCTAATTTATCTGCCAAAAGAAATTCCTTTTGTGTTTGAACTTGTAAACCCACCATTTTCATTTTATTTTATTTTTGACCCTTTCACCTAGCTTACATTTCTGATGGAAAAGTTCACAATTTATCAGTAAGTTTAGTTTGCTGTGGTGATTTCTCTTTAAAAATAACAAAGCAAAACTCGTCAATTTCACAGATATTACAGAGCACATCAAAAATGTAGGCTGTGATAAAATTGACTGTTTACTATTCTCTCATTTACAGAAATACTACAGAAATAATTAGTGATACATGTGCCCAAAATTCTAGGTGATTTTTTAAAGTTTTACATCTGCTTCTCCTGTTAGTATGTGAAATTGACTTTAGTTTTATTAGTTATATGTCTTACAAACATAAATTACAGGAAATCTGAATACTGTTCCTCTCTTTCTAAAATTTCCTGTGATAATAGTAAATGCATTTCTCCATATTGATAAACTATGCTGATGAATTGGCTGAGTACCTCAGATTAGGATGAAAACTCAGCTCCCATTGTTTTCCATGCCTTTTTCATTTGATATATTGACGTATATATCATGTTTCAAACACCAAACCAAAACCAGACCCACTGCTTTTGAGTCAATTCTGACCGTAGTGACCTATAGGACAGAATAGAACTGACCCATAGGGTTTCCAAGGCTATGAATCTTTACGAGAGCAGACTGCCTCATCTTTCTCCCGTAGAGCCACTGGTGGGTTCGAACTGCCAGCGTTTTGGTTAGCAGCCAAGCACTTTAACTACTGTACCACCAGGGCTCCTGTTTCAAGCACAACATATTTAAAGTCTACATTATTTTGTATGCGAATTTTAAGAATTAGATTTTGGTTTTAAACATATTTTTATGGTTCTTAAACTTCTATATCTCATTTTTAGGGAAGGAATAGGTTTTTTTTAAATAAGAGAGAATTAAAGTTTGTATTTAAATTTATAAATTTCTGGAGATGGCAGTCATATTTTTAATAATAAGTGATGTTGGTATAGCTATGTTTGGTATATGTCTGGTTTTTATTACCTGGGATAGCCTAATGGATTTTATAGAAGACCTGGAGACACCAATAGAAAACTGAGATCATTTGCGTCCTAACATCAAACCTATGAGTGATAACATTACTGTGAAATAAAGAATAGAAACCTTATAAAAGAATATTGGGCCCAGATTTTTATCAACATGTTAACTGAGCCTTATTTATTTATAAGAAGTATACTAGTACCTATTCTCTCACCAAAAAATAAAAAATTCAGTCAGTAACTCTGTCAGTAGCACAATATAAACTAAAGTCTTAATCGTGTCCTTTGAAATTTTAAATAATAGAGGTGATATGTATTCAAATCTCTTTGAATTTTAAAAATAAGTGCTCATTGGTACATTGAGATCGCTGATTTCAAGAAAAGCCCAAATGCTCACAGATTTTTCTGTGAGATTCAGCTGGTTAATTGGAGGGTATGGGGAAAAGCTGCTTTAAAGTGTACTCTTAGCCACGTTATCATCACAGTTCCCTTCAAATTCATGCCTTCATATACTTGAGCTAGACCAAGTAGTATCCCATGATATTCTTAAAGTGCCTAGTTGAGCAAAGTGTTGTACATCCTCAATTTAACAATGTGGGATTTCTTATGATACTTCATGAGTACCTCTAATTTTTCATTTTCTTATTGATGATTGAGTAACAGGCTTTATCTTTAGAGGGCCGCTATTCTCTCTTCAGCACCTATTTCTTATTCTGTTGTATGCTCTTATTGTATGCTTGGCTGGCTAGCCACAGGGAGAAAATGTTCCGAGTATGCTTTCTGCCTTCTAAAAACATGAGCAAATGAAAACAGTACTGTTAGGTGTTCTTAGTTTGATTTTTATTTACTCCCTTATCACTAGACTTCAGTGTGGAAACAAGCATGTGGTTTCCAAGGGATATTTGATGATTTCAAACTGTGGTTAAATAATGTCAAGCCAGTGGAGAAAAGTCTATAAAATTATGCTTGTAATTTAACATGATGTGCAGTCTGTGGTTTTCAAGTCAACATTATTTTTATTTGGTTGTGTTTTTTCTTTCAGGAGAAAGCTTTGCAGAATTCAGATGTACAGGAACTGATGATGGTTTCACCGATTTTAAAACAGCCGATAGCATCTCACCACTAGAACTACCAACAAAAGACAAAACTTTCCCAGCATCCTTTCCCTCAGGACCTGTACAACAGAAACAACAGACGCAAGTGAAAACTCCTCTGAACTTAGCAGACCTAGATCTGTTTTCCTCAGTCAGTTGCAGCAATGAGAAACCAGTGTCTTTTTCAGCTGCATTTAGTGTATCAAAATCTATTCCCACACGACCACAGCCGACAGATTCCACTGCAACTACAACCGCACTGGCATCGACTAAAACTTCTAGTTTGGCTGATGATTTTGGAGAATTCAACCTTTTTGGGGGATATTCTAGTCCAGCATCTGTTGGGGAGCAGGATGACTTTGCAGATTTTATGGCTTTCAGTAATAGCTCAGTTTCATCTGAGCAAAAGGCAGATGACAAATACGATGCCCTGAAAGAGGAAATTAGTCCTATTCCTCTCACAAGCACATCAGGCAGCACAGTGAAGAGTGTACAGAACGCAGCTGCCGCGCCTTCCAAGTATGACGTCTTCAAACAGCTTTCTCTGGAAGGATCTGGACTAGGTGTTGAAGAACTCAGAGATTGCACTGCTTCAGGAAAAAGTGATGACGATTTTGCTGATTTCCACTCCAACAAATTTTCTTCCATGAACTCGGACAAATCCCTAGGAGAAAAAGCGGTGGCCTTCAGACACACCAAAGAAGATTCTGCTTCTGTCAAGTCCTTGGATCTCCCTTCCATCGGTGGCAGCAGTGTTGGCAAGGAGGACTCTGAAGATGCACTCTCTGTTCAGTTTGACATGAAATTGGCTGATGTGGGAGGCGATCTTAAGCATGTCATGTCTGATAGCTCTTTGGATTTGCCAACAGTTAGTGGCCAGCATCCTCCTGCTGCAGGTGAGGAATTGGTGAGATTGCTCTGGTGATGGTGATGTAGATTTCAGAGATGATTCTGTGGGTGTCATTTGACTGAGAGTGAGGCTCTGGCCATTTACCTTTATCAATTTCTAATAATTAACCTCTTCGTTGCCAGTCCCCTTAAAGCAGTGTTAAATTTGATTTGATGGCAACTTAGAAGGGAGAGCTAAATATTCTTATTTTCGAAATCTAACAGGCACATAAAAACCTACTACTAAATGAACCCACGTTGCCAGAAATTTTGTACAGACTTTTGCAGTGTCAGCTGTGTTTCTCCATTTCTGTGAGTGAGGTCAGTGTTTCCCTCTCCTTTCTTTTCTCTTGGATTTATTTGGCAGCTGCCAGTATAGTATTGCGTTTGGTTTCCAAAACTGACTCTTGTTCTGCCAAGAAAGTAAAACTTTCTAACCAGTTGTATTGCAGTTTGCCGTGTCCTTTCAAAGGAAGAGGGAAAGAGCTTGTACATGGATGTCCTGTATGTCAGGGTCTGGCAAGAAGGAGGGCATGTGTTATTGTCAGTGGAATCCAGGTACTGTTTTTAGTGTTAACTCTATTACTGGAAGTGTTAAGTTGTAACAAATCTCTAGATGCTAGAATAGGTAACTACTAACTTTCTGATGAAATATTTGAAAACTGACTAAAAACATCTTATTAGGGAGCCCTCTTTAAATCTGTGTGGATTTACATGTAGCATTTTATTTGCTAGTCCAGCTTCCTGTCATAAAAACTAGATTCCCAAGTGTCCTAGTTTTTTGTTTTGTTTTTTGATATGTATATAGAAAGATAAAACTATTTTGTGGCCTTTAATAATGAGAACTATCTCAGCATTACTATATTATTCTAGGAAATGTATTATGCATATGAAGATGTTTTGGGAATGAGAGAACACGTAAGACACTTGCAAGTTTACAGATTTAGGCAGAAATTGTAAAGTATTAAAGCGTTTAGGTATATCAAATTGGTTAAGTCCATCCTTTGGCTGTTGAAAGGTATTCTTAAACAGGGTGCTGAATCAGGAGCAAGTTTGCAGAAACAACACGTGTTCCATGTTGCTACTTGCTAAGGTATGTTCCAAGTGCAGTGGGCTGTGGGCGGAGCCCTTTGTGCCCTTGACGGTCCACTTTCCTTTTTTGTACTCTTCTCAGATGTTTTTCTATTTTTGTTGTTGTTTGTTTGATGGAGTGATTTTGTTTAGTTTTGTTTCGGTATGAGCTGCTTGACCAACAGCAGTTGGTTGCAGTGCTCCAGTTTCCAACAACAGTATTTGCATTTTATTTAAAAATTTCGTAACAAGTATAGTAGCCTTTTTGGACTCTGAAGTTATTAATTAGAGGCTATTTTTCTGAAAGTGCATTGGTATTCTTTCACAGTGCCATGTTAGATGTCCTTAGGAGAGAAATCTAATCCAGGTTTAGGGTGTATTTTATTTTTAATTTTATTTGGGGAGGGGAGGTAGGTTTTTTTGACTACGCTTGTTCTGATTGACCTGTTGAAATAATCTTCTGTGCTCATGTTCTTTTATGTATGTTTGGAACATTCCCAGCTTTGAACCTGTAATGTTCAAGCCAAGTCTCTTCAGTTTGAGGATATTCTTAAATGTAGATTGTTTCCTTCCTTGATCTGTAAACCTTATGTCGGAAAGGAGCAGTATCCCTTTAGAGCGGTTGTTAAAGGGGTTGATGTCTGACCAATAAGTTGTATGGTTGTTGAGCAAAATTGCTGCATACATATATTATAGAAGGTAAATGGCAGGGACTCCTTCAATGCGATTTGGTTTTATGTTATCCTCATGTTCACCACAGTATCTCTTGCTCTCTTAGTTTGAGGGTTAAAGGTACTTCTTGTTGGAGAAATAAGAAGTGGGTATGAAGAGAGATTAAAACCTCATAGATAGCTATCTATGGGCCATAATCCTGTTTAGAAACCCTAACCTAACTCTGAAGGGGATACTGTCTCTTTTAACTCTTGCTATAATTCTTTGTATGGAAGGTAGATAATACTAATAACATTGCGTAATTTCTCTGCATATTATTACATTTAACCGTTTGAGCCCTTGCTGCATATAATTTCAACTCGGCTGCTTTTTTTCCCCCCACTGAATTTAATCTCTCTGGCACTGAAGCATCTTGATATGCAGTCGTAAGATCGTCTGGTTTTGTTGGCAGCAGGAGCTTACCCCTCATTTGTGACATTCTGAAAGGGTTAGCAAGACTTCTGTAGCTACCTACCTACCTACCTGTGAAGTAGCTCTTCTTGGACATTGAAAAATCTTTGTATTTTATTCAATGCCTTATTTATTTATTTTGGCTGCTTTCTGATGTCTCTTTTTCAATTTAGACCTTTTTCTGTGTGAATGTGCCTTTTCAGACTTGCTTTAGTATATCCCTCTGCAAATACTGATCTGCATGCTTATTCTGATGACTTCCTTTCCAGCTCTTCTGTACCACTCTCTTTTGTGATCTGTAAGTCCTGTGTTAATAAATAATTCTTTGGCATATTTTGAAAGTGTGGGGACGTGTGTAATTTGTACTGTTTCAGGATTAGACCAAAGAAATACCTGGTTCAGACCAAGTTTGAAGCAGTAGTTTCTCCTCGGACTTGAGGGTTTCTCCCATTTGTTTTGTTTCCTCAAATACCTTTTTCCTTAGAAAGTATTAGTACGTTTTAACCTTTTATTCTCTTATAATTCCATTGGTGTAAGTTTTTAACGTGGCATTGGAACTGAAGTATAACTTTAAATGTTTGAAAAAATAAGGTAACCTCACATTATTTTAAGTGTAATAGGGAGAGAGAAAATTTACCCCAGTTTCTGAAGAAACTGAGTAGATTTCATTGCTTAGTAAACCTTACAGAGCCTGTCTCTCTACTAAGAGTTACATTGTGAAGAGAAGGGGAAGGTGAGGAGGAAGACCTAAGAGTTAACTACTGGGAAAAGAGGAACACAGATATCCGTTAGTAGCTGGATATCGATAAACTGAGTTTAAAATAAATCATCAAATGGTATTGAGATAGACTTCTGATCACAGTAAATATAAACTGAATTTAAGTTGATAATTTCTGTACTGCAAAGCGTTCTCTGTTAATGCCTGGAAGTCTTCAGGACTGAATTTGATTTGAGTTTGAAGTCGGGTACTCCAGCCTCTGATTGCAGAGCACGTTATCTTTCAGACTTTGAGAGTGTATTATGAAGCCACCTCAAGTCTTTTTTACTGATACTCCATAAAGCAAGTTCTTCAGATGACCTTAGGGGATGTGTCAGAGAAAGTAAGGTTAAAAACATTTTCAATTTTTAAGAAAACATTTTCTAGAAAGATCAGTGAAAGTTAGCAACAAAAGTAGGCCAAACTTGGAAAAAAAACTTTGTGTTCATTTTAGGGTGTAATAAATAGGAGGCAATTTTGAGAAGGTTTTGTTTTTCAGGTCAGAAACCTTTACACCAATAAGAGCTGTGGAAAAACTGCTATTTCCATGGTTTAAAATTTTTATTCTTATGATTTTTGGTTCTTTGTTCTTTTTTTAAAATTTGAGGAAGAAAATTAAACCACTGAATGATTCCTGAGAGATCAGTTAGTGTCTGAAATAGTGCTTTCTGATAAAGAAAAAAATTGCATGTGGGGATTTAGATTAACTCTAAGAAAAGTTGGGCCTGCCATTTAAAATATTGTGTTTTCCAGAGTATGAGGCTTTAGAAAATTAAATAATACTTGGTTTCAAAAATCTTATATAAATGCATTATCCCCTGGTGGTACAGTGCTGAAGAGCTCGACTGCTAACCAAAAGATCAGCAGTCTGAATCCAGCAACTGCTTCTTGGAAACCCTATGGGGCAGTTCTACTCTGTCGTGTAGGGTCGTTATGAGTCAGAATCAACTGAATGGCAACGGGTTTTTGGCTCTAATTATGATGTGTGCTGCTAACAAATTTGGAAGAAAGAGATCTTAGTGTAGCCTCCATCTAATGGTAATGCCATCTGCCCTTTACTTAGGATGTTCTGGTGCTATGTATAAGACCAATCTCTTAGTTGCTTTAGCTGAGGAATTCCTTCAAAAATTGAATTCTTTAATGCTGGGTTGGTCCATCTGGGACTGCCTTATTTTAACTCCTTTCTGCATTTACCTAAGCAGACTGCAGAAGATGACTATGTGTAAAACATACATTCACAAACTGAGCAATGAATGTTTCCCCAGTAATATATTATTTTTTAGGGAGATCATTTTAATAGTGTAATAATATAAATTTTTTTCAGAATAAAAACTTGAACTCTGTGCTACAGGTTTAAATAAACAAACAAAATGCTATGTTTGGTTTACCCCAGTACCAAGTAAGATATGGTTAGTGCTTGATTTCATACGTCAGTGCCTGAGAAATTACATAAATGTATTTAGATTCCACAGTTACTCTACTGGTCACGTTAAAATCCCTGCTGATTTTTAAAAGTAGCAAATGAACATGAAGGGACACTGGCAATATCAAAGAAGCTGTGCCAACTCCTAAAACAACTCAGAGAATCAAGTTATTTTTAATGAGCTGCTTCTAGATCTGTTTTTCCATCAGTTGAGTACTTTTGACAAATTGTTTTGGACTATATTGGCCTATAACATTGAGAGCATATGCTGAGGAGGTCTCCTGGGTGCCGCTGTCTCCCCTTCTCGGCCAAAAGGCCCTGATTGCGGTAACCACCTTTTGTGCTCATTTGATGAGATTTGTAATGGCAACCATGGGCGGTCTCACTGTGTATCCTGACACCATTCCTTGGCATTCGTTTCCTCTGACTTAAAAAATCCACAGTGTTGGCACTTTTCGTTTTTGGACTTAAAGCACTGACACAGTAACCTGAAGGTGCTTACAGTAGCATGGATATAATTTAAACCATAGATATAAACCTTTCAAATGAAGACTGGGAGGTTTTTAATGCAGATGGGAAAACTAGGCAAATAATAAGGCTGCATTTTATAGCCTGTCAGACTTAAACACTGTGATCACTTTCATTCCTGTTTTCTTCAACAGCACCTATCAGACTGTTTGAGATTTATAGGATGTAGTCAGACCAGGTTTTATAATTAATAAAGAATATGAATATAATTGTTCTCAGAAAGGAGAATAGGACCAGGGATGGAGAGGAGCTGAAATGTATAAATATTTCATGGTTTGCTTTGGTAAATGAAGTTTGGATTAAGTCAGTATTGGAAATTGAAAGATATTTCTTCCTTAGTCCAGTGCACATTTTTATTGCTATATAAAATACTTGAGAATAGTGGTATTTGCAGATGTATCACCTTTCTTCTCTCTAAACTCCTTCCTCAAAAGCCAGTAACTCTTAATCACCTGGGCATATGCTTACAGCTTTGGAAATGTCAGTGGGAAAGTGTCCTCACATTCTTTGTTCCAGAACATACCTTGTTTTCGCCTACAAAATCTATTCAAAAGGGATGTGAATAGAGGTTATGGAAGAGGCTGATAGGGTGACTTGCCAGCATGAGCAAGAAATCCATGTCTCATTTGAGATCCATGATGGAAAGCAGATTGTATAGCCCGTTCCTTTGGCCTCTGTCATAGGACATTCCTAGTTGCAAACATAAATACATGTATAGGGGCACACAATTTGGTGTATTATCTGTGTACAGTTGCAGTTCAACCTAGCACAGTCCAAGAGTTCTCCAGTAGAATTGAAAATAAAGTAGTGAGTCTCTGTTCATTTTATTGCATCCATTCTCTGTTTTCTTTTTCTCTTGCAATTTTCAGAATTCAGCTATCAAATTGAAAACCCATCTACAGTAACTTCAGTGATTACAAAAGAAAATGTGGGTTATTCCACAGTTTTCAAGACAGGGCTTTCATCACTTTTATGTTGTAGGTCTTACAGAAGCTTTAATATTTTAAAGACCATTAGACAATAATGTATATAATTTGACTGCTTAGAAACTGTAGAACTGTTAACACAGGAAATGAGGAATTTTCTTGGTTTGACCTAGCCCAGTGACCTGATCTACCATATTTTTCTTAGAAAATGGTTTACAAAATTTACCATGCCAGGAAATACTACTCTGTTTTAATATTGTCCAGGGCTACCAAGTTATGTCTTACGTTCCTTATGTAATATCAATTTTTTAATACTTGCTTATGTGTTCAGATTAATTATACTCAAGTCAGTTCCAACCATAGTGGCCCAATAGGACAGAGTAGAACTATCCCATAGGGTTTCCAAGGAGCAGCTGATGGATTCGAACTGCCGACGTTTTGGTTAGCAGCCAAGCTCTTAACCAATGTGCCACACTATAGTAGCTAATAAGTAAGCAAAAGTAATATATAAAAATCAACCTTGAGGTTTGATTTTAGTAAAGTATTTATCCATCATTATTTAAAAAAAAAAAAGAAGTATAAAGTATTTCCATTGTTCTTAAGTCTTTCATTTTTATGAGTTGTTCCAAAAGGCAAAATGTTATACATACCGTTTTTAATAAAAATAAGATTTAGTGAAGACCTATACATTATAGAAATGCTCGAAAGCTCTTCAGCTAAGATAATCCCTTATTGACTTATATTGCCTTTTACCTGAGTATACTACAGTCATTTCTGATTTAAAAAAAAAAAAAAAAGCTTGTTGTATAATTGCACAAAAGGATCTTTTTATTACCATAGCAACCTGGTTACGAGTTTTGAACTAGAAGTAACTTTTCATTAAATTTATCTTTGGTTTCTAGGAAATTTGCTACTGTCTTAATAGATGAGATTCTGGGAGTAGTTTCCTAATATAACTTCCCCCAAACAGCTTTCTGATAGGTTCTAATAATGAAAATACCTGTATTATGAAATGTTCTTCTGAATGTCCCCCTTGAAGACTAGGCTCATGTTTAGCTGCATCTGCCTTCTAATTGAATTTCACCTCTTTTGAGTCAGGCTGCCTTCTAATGCCTTTAAAAAGCGGGGAAAGTAAAACCACTATAGCCAGAGGCTCGTTTCATTCCTTCTAATCTATAAACTTTTCACCTCAGTCTTCCCGCCACCCCCACCGCCCCTTTTTAATTAGCCAAATTTGAAGGGTACCATTTGCACTGCAGAATTTAAAAATACATCATCCTATGGTAGACATTTGCTTTTCAGTCGTTGGCGTTTTTGTTTATCTTGGGCTCTCTATTTTTATTATTAATTTAGTACCCTTTTCCTAAGAGAGTTTAAAGAGAGATACATGTTAAAAGAGATATGGAAATGTTAAGAGTCCTTTAACTCTCTTTAACTATGCAGTGTGGCTGTGAAAGAAAGGTTAAAAATGACCCAGTATTGGTTCACCTTACTGACTTTGTTATGAAAATCTGGGTCACAAAGCTTTTGAGCCTTTTCCTTGTAAATCATATGTGTGGCTGCCAGAGGGAGATCTTGTGATTGGTCTTCTTGCCTTGTATACAGTGACTAAAATGAAATTAAACATGGTAAAAGTCTAAATCTTAACACATGCTGGCCTGACGGAGTGGACAGTTAGCTTCTCCACACCAGCCTGACTCAGCCATAGCTGCTTTTGCCTCTTGATACTGAGCAACAAACTTCTTCCCCAATAACACCACTAAAATGATGAGTTTACTTTTCATTTTTACTTTGAAATATGTCCATTTTAGGCCCTAAGCAGCAACTAAATGCCTAATTGAGGCCGGAGGCAACTATGCTGAACAAATAATAGGCTAGCTACTATGCATTGCTCACCAGGCACTGAGCTGGGCCCTTTATACACATTTAATCATCCAAACACAGTGCTTCCAAGTACAGGGTCTTCTCCTCATTTTACAGATAAGCAAACCGAGGTTCAGAAATGTTAAATAATTTGCCTAGTGTCACACAAGTCGTAGGTAGCAGAGCTGGGAGTTGAACCAGATCTGTCTAAATAAAAAACCTACACTCTTTCTTCAGTTTTATGCCCCTTAAAATTTCTCAAATGTATATTAAGAATGTTTTGTAAAATGAGTCTTTTGCCCCAGGGTTTTTTTTTTTTTTAATTGGGGGACGGAACTCATAGTTGAATGAGAAACAGGAGCCCAACCGGACCCAGACCCTTGATTCTATTTTTTAGGGGCTAACGTAGATTAGATTGGTTTTTCTTTCCTCACACTCCACCACAGCAGTATGACGTCCATATTGACCAAAATAACAACTAGGTAAGTAATTGCTTGATTAAAACCTCTTATTTGGCCTCGCCTGAGACAGAAATTTCTAATAATTGAGTGAAAGTTAGGAAACATTATTTTCATTTCAGTTTTGAGAAATCATACATTTTTAATTGTCATATACATATCTTTTCATATGAACATGTTTTAAAGGAACATTTTCTAACAGTCAGGATGGAAGGAGCCATGTTTCAGGCAGGGAATATGTGAGTATGTTTTAAAATATAAGTAGACAAGTTATTAAATGACTCATCTTATATCAAACATTGGTAGATGAACTGCCTATTTTTTGGAGTAATTTTTATATCCAAAGAAAATAGTTCTTTAGGACTAAATATAGATGCCAGCTCAAGGCTTATGTGTTTTTTTTAAGATCAGATTTTACAGCCCAACTACATGTTCTAGATGTAGTTAATTCTGATGTAGCATAAAACTAATCAGATGTGCTAGCCATTTTGCTTCTGCAGAGTTGAGGGCAGTTTGTCTAAATTGTGAGCTTATCTCTAATTGTGGGGTCTTATTTCCATTTCAGATATAGAGGACTTAAAATATGCTGCTTTTGGAACCTACAGTAGCAATTTTGCAGTGAGCAGTCTTACAAGCTATGACTGGTCAGACAGGGATGATGCATCTCAGGGCAGAAAACTCTCTCCATTTGTCCTCTCAGCAGGAAGTGGATCCTCCTCAGCTGCCTCAGTTCTTCAAAAGAAGGAGACTCCATTTGGCAGTTCTGAAAGCATCACCACGACATCTTTCTCCAAAGTAACAACCTTTGCAAGTGAAGGTGTTCTTCCAGAAACTACCTTCCCAGCGTTTGCCAGTTTTAAAGATGGAATTCTTCAGACCAGTGAGCAAAAGGACTATGAAAGCGGGAACTATAAAGATTTCACAAGTCAGGACCTGCCTTCAGCTGAACAGAGCCAAGAGGTCACAAGTCCAAGCCCAGCTTCTAGCGGTGCTTCTCACGAAACCCCAAAAGAATGTTCAGATGATTTTGGAGAGTTTCAAAGTGAAAAGCCCAAAATCAGCAAGTTTGACTTTTTACTGGCCAATTCACAAAGCAAAATGAAATCCAGTGAAGAAATGATCAAAAGTGAGCTGGCAACCTTCGACCTTTCTGTTCAAGGTGAGTAGCTTCAACGTGGTTTTTGCTATCCTGGTTTCTTCTACTGAGAATGTTAGGTGTTCTTTCTCAAGAATAAAAGTTTGGTCCCTGGTTTAGCAGAAAGTAGTTTTCCCAATCTTTGAGAGCAAAGTCTATTAGCAATAACTATAAAAAGATTTCCCAAATGTACAGTTCTGTGAATTTTAACACATGTATAGATTTGTGTAACCACTGTCACAATCAGGATACAGAACAATTCCATCACCCCAAACAACTCCCTCATCCTCTCCTTTATAGTCATACCCTTCACCCATCCCCAACCCCTGGCAACCACTGTTCTGTTTTCCATCACTGTAGTTTTGCCTGGGAAAAAAAAAAAAAAATCTCCCAGAGACTGAACTGAAGTCAAACCACTATTCCTCAGAAAAGCTTCTTTGTGGGTTAAAAACAAACATAGAACATAGTCTGTTGTTCATTAGCTTATTGGTTAGAGGTATGGAGCCAGACAAATGGATTTGATCCACTTGTGGGCAAGTTAGCTCTGCTCTTATTCCTGGCTACAAACTGTGTTTTATAATCCAGAGACTGCCGTGTAGCTCTAGATCCAGCCTGCAGATCTGTTTTGATTGCTCTACACAGAAGTTTTTTTTTTAAGTTTGAAGCAATTGCCAATATTTAAAAATCATGAGAGGTTACATAGCCTGGATTTCTAGCTTTTCTTGAAAAGTCATCATATCTGTCAGTACTCAGCCTGCATTCCCACCTCTTGACTCTTGAAGGTGAGTAGCAGTGCCCCCTTTAGGTGGGGCACGCACTCCCCAGTTTGCCACAATCCCCACCGCTCCCTATCTTCAACTGACGTACTTCAGTCATTTACTTTACTTGCCTGGTCTCTGTAGGCATTTGAGTTTGCTGCTTCTGCTCTAATCCCATCCTGACAGAAGGGATCATTGATCATGGTTAAATTGAAAGAGTATTTAGGAGCTCAGTACAAATTCATAACCAATGACTGGAAAAACAATACAAGTCTTATGCATTGATGTTAGGAAGTCACTTTTGTCCTCCAGACTCCAATGATTCTGCACTTAAAATTATGGAGGAGTCAGGGTAGATCAGAGAAGAGTAATGGAGAAAAAAGCAGGGAAGCCAAGCAAGAAAAAAGATTGCAAGGATCCAACATGTAGCTTCCCAGGCAGAATGAATCAGGATTGTGTTTCTGAATGCCTTGTGACATAAACACCTGAAGAAGAGTCGTGTTAGCAAGGAAGAGCCTCTGCTTGAACTAAGTTGAGTAACCCAAACCTTTGGCTGTACCATCCACTTCCAGGATCTCACAAGAGGAGTTTGAGCCTTGGTGATAAAGAAATAAGCCGTTCTTCTCCTTCTCCGGCTTTGGAGCAGCCTTTCCGAGACCGTTCCAACACTCTGAGTGAGAAGCCCGCTCTGCCTGTCATCCGTGACAAGTACAAAGATCTGACAGGAGAGGTGGAGGTGAGCAGGCTGGCCTTGCACAGGAGCCAGGTGAAAGGCACTGAGAGCCCAGCGAAATACGCCTTCAGCTTTCACTTGGGAAAATGAGAGGCAGAAAGTAACAAGACGCCAGGCATAAAATGTGTATTTTAAGTGAGAGAGTGATATTAGTCCTAGATGAAAATACTTCCCAGATGTGACATCTGCCAAAAGTGGTTAGTGACCCTAAAACTGAAACTTTTCATGGGACTTTGAGGAGAGAAGTGTTTGGGAAATTATTTTTGAGCATTTAAATTTTACTGTCTTAAAACCCAAACCAAACCCATTGCCGTCGAGTCGATTCCAACTCGTAGCAACCCATCTTAATGAATGTAAAAACCTCAAAATAGGGGAGAGAGGGAAAACGTTCCGGATCTTCTAACTATTTATATTTCTTCATCTTAGTCCCGTGCTGGCTTCCTCCTGCAGTCAACACCCTTAACTGTCCCCTTTCCCCCATTCTTTGTCACACATGCACATGTACATCATAACTGTGGAGCAGAAAGCCAATGGTTTGATGTTGACTCTTGTGCTAGACACCTAGATGGTGAGTACCTTTGAAGAAAAGCTTACGCTGTTACTGGAAGAAGTGAGGCAACATTTAGAGAGGGAAACTGCTATAAACCATTTCCCTCAGATTTACAGGTCATGTGCTTTGAAGTTACATTTATTAGTCATTTGAAATAATCATTAGTAAGTTCAAAAAGATAAGCTGGGCTTGAGCTAACATAATTTTAATAAAAACAAAGTCTCCCAATGCTCTTTGAATTGACAGAAGTCATAAATAGAGGATTTCCAGGCATGCCTGTTTAACCCAGCGTTTTCTTTGTTAATTCACAGGAGAATGAGAGATATGCGTATGAATGGCGGAGATGCCTGGGGAGTGCCCTAGATGTGAGTATGTCACTTGTGGTATTCACGCGTATGTAAGTGCTCTCTTGTGCCATTTTGCCTTCTCCGTGGTTCATCTGAATGGACAGAGGCAAACTTGAGAAGAGCCTTACCTTGATGGCCTTGTGCAACCTGACACTGTGAAAAGTTATACGTCTTAAGTAAGACTTCTTTCACATATGTAGTAGCAAACTCTGGCTTCATCATCAATTGTCCTCTCATCTGTCATTGTGTTTAAGAAAAAACCAAGTGACATCATTAACTCTGCCTAATTTAAAAGAATATTTAAGCTGAGGAATCTCTGTCTTTTGTCTTCCAAAGAAAGAGAGGATTGTTTCTTCAAGGTTAAAATTAAAGTCTTAGATTTGTTCAGCATAGGCATATACATATATCAGTTATTCATGCTTTTACATACCTCTTGGCTTTTTGGTCGGTTTTCTAGTAATAGTAAATGGATTTGCAGTGACTTTTCTCAGTTACATAAGGTGATGTGATTTCATTTCTTATAGGTCATAAAGAAGGCAAACGATACCTTAAATGGAATCAGTAGTAGTTCTGTTTGCACAGAAGTAATTCAGTCAGCTCAAGGCATGGAATATTTATTAGGTATGTTCTTTTATATTTTAGTTATTTAAAAGCATGGCACTTTGCTTTATTTTCAGTGTCCCCTTATGTTAAGTATTTTAATCTAGTTCTCCGAAGCCATAGATGACTTCACTTAATAACATCTGCACTTGTAGATAAGACACTTAAGTCACAGGCAGTAACAACTGTTAGACTTAAGGTCTCTGTGGCTAAGTTTCCTAGTCCTTGTTATACACTTAATAGCAACAGTATAAAATTACATCTGTGTTACTGGTTTATCAAAGAGTCTAAACTAGGTGAGGCATAAAAATGAAATCATTTTGTCTCCAATCACTGCCTTACCATGCTCTATGGATTCTTTCTTTCTACCCCTTAATGATATTACAAACAGTTCCTTAGCTTTCTGGCCACCTTCCGCTATTAAACATCCCAATCCAGTTTAAAACCTCAGTCTCCGTCCAGTTCAGTATCCCAGCACTCCTCAAGCTTGAGCTTGGCTGTGGCCCCATGTGTTGGACCCTAATCTTTTTCAGATCTTTTCTCAAATATCACCTTCTAAGTGAGGTCTTCCCTGGCCTTCCTTTCTCAAAACTGTGTCTCCTCTCCCCACTCCCTGATGCTTCCTGTCCCCTTCCATGCTTAACTTTTTCCTTAACCCTTCCCTTTAATATTTTATTATTCGTTCTTGTTTATAGTCTCTCTCCCTCCACTAGAATGAAGCTCCAAGGAAGCAAGGATTTTGGTCTGTTTCGTTCACTGCTGTGTCCCCAACACCTAGAATAGTGCCCTGCACATAGTAGGCACCAAAAAACATTTGCTGAATGATTAAATAGTGAAGGGATGTTGTCTGTCCTTTACTCTGCCACCTCACTCTAGTTCCTCTTTTCTTGCTCAAAGGAGCCCAATTCTATTGCATAAGCAGATGTCCATCAGGAAATGGGGAACCTGGTCTTCCCTTCTAGTAGGTTTCCTATTCTCTATGGGAGATTCTCTTAGAAGCCTCCACTTGGCTTAGGGTGGGCAACAACCCCTGCCCTTCTGCTGGGGAAGGAAGAGGAAAAACTCATAGTGCTGCACACAGATTGATGACACACCACTCTGAAGACCCCCTGTAATTCCTCCAGTCGTCTCTTTAAAGGCTGGGGCAAGGGTTTGGACAGGGGGATGTGTCTGGGGCTGTCTTTAGAGTGCGAAAGTACGTGGCATCTATCATCCTTGCTTGAAAAGTTCAGCCACAATTCAGAGATCACGGGATAAGAGCCAGTGTGCATCCTGTGTCCTGTGTGAAGATGCATGAAGCCACAGAGTTTATAAATCATTGGAAATTCAGAAGGATAAGATATTTCTTAATTACTTTGTGATGATATTAACATTTAGATTCTTTTAAACTTTCAAAATTCTTGTTTTCAGCTAGTTTAATAGGATTTCCCAAATCCAAACAGATGGGCTCATTAAGAAGTCAGGAAAAAAAGAAAAAGCTAATACTTGCATAATGCTTACTGTTCTCTGGGCACCATTCTGAGCCATTTACATATACTAACTCATTTCATCTTCTTAAAAACCCTTTGAGGAGGTACTATTATTAGCCCAATTTCACAGATGAGGAAACTGAGGCAGAGAGGGTTTAAGTGACTTGCCCAAGGGTACATAGCTAGAAAGTGACAGAGCTGGGATTTGAACCCAAGCAGTGTAGCTCCTGGTGGTGCAGTGGTTAAGTATTCAGCTGCTAACCAAAAGGTCAGCAGTTCGAATCCACCAGCTGCTCCTTGGAAATCCTACAGGGCAGTTCTACTCTGTCCTATAGGGTCACTATGAGTTGGAATCGACTCAATGGCAGTGGGTTTGGTTTTAGTGTAGCTGCAGAGTCTGTGCTCTTACCAGTAAGCTATGCAGCAGTCTTGAGGAGGTGGGTTGGTCCCAAGGAATAGTAAGGTCACCTCTGTCCAGATGTATTCTTAATTCCAACGAAGATATCAGCAAATAATAATGCTGCTTGTTGTCTAACGTATCTCATTTCCTACACTGTCGACACCTAACTCTACTCTCTCATTCTGTCAGGTGTCGTTGAGGTGTACAGAGTAACCAAACGTGTGGAGCTGGGGATAAAGGCCACTGCAGTGTGCAGTGAGAAACTCCAGCAGCTGCTGAAGGACATTGACAAAGTGTGGAATAACCTAATTGGCTTCATGTCACTCGCCACGCTCACGGTAAGCCCACTAGACAGTTCAGCAGTTGCTTTTCTTTCCAGAAACCTGTGTTGTAAAACAGGACATATATTCCTATAATGGCACTTACTGGAGTCTGAGGGTGCCTACTGGCTCATGTTATGTTGAAGGAGAAAGATGACATTTGTGCGGTTAGTTGAACAGTACAAGTTGGCTTCTGGGTAGCTCGAAAGCCATTGTATCTAAATAAACTAAGACTACAGGAAGGCATTCACTCTTTCTGTATCCCCTTAATTCACATACATGTATGCATGTTTTGCAAAGCATGGATTTGAGTTCTTCCCTTTTTACTTCTAGTTATTTATGTCCTCTGTGTGTCCTTTTGGAGTCCTGGTGGTGTAGTGGTTAAGAGCTATGGCTGCTAATCAGAAGGTCAGCAGTTCAAATCCACCAGCTGCTCCTTGGAAACCCTATGGGGCAGTTCTACTCTGTCCTGTAGGGTTGCTATGAGTCAGAATCCACTCCACGGAAACGGGTTTGGGTTTGGTTTTGGTTTTTTATGTGTCCTTTTAAAAGCTGTATGCTATATCTTGTTGCTATCCTATAGGTTGCTTAACCCCTTTACTTTCATTAGGCTCTTGGATTGATTTCATTATCTCCTGTTATGAATAGTTCTGCTCTGAATATCTTTAAACAAATGACTGTTTCCTCTTTTTGGGATATGTTCCTCAAAGTGGACTTATAAGGTCAGAGTGTGTGCACGTGTACATGCATGCATGCATATATAGCTCTTGTTCCATTTATTAGATGGTTTTCCAGATAGCTTGGACTAGTTGACAGTGGTACCAGCAGTATGTAAGTACACAGTTCTCTATACTGTGTTCTAGCTTTCTTCGTAGATTTCTTAATTTAACAAGTGTATGATTCCCTAAAGTTGTTTGGAATTTGCATTTCCTTCTTTTCTGGAAAGGCTGTGCAGTGTTCCAAATGATAATTTACTATTTCTGTTTCTTTTGCATATAAATTGTTCATCTCTTTTGATCATTTGTTAAATGAAATATGGTTTTTGACTTTATATATTAGTAATAATTTTTTAATATATATTGGGTAGTAAGCTTTTATCAGTTATTTTCTTCCCTCTTCTATTACTGTCCCTTTATACATTTCACTGGGCAAAGCTGTTTTATTTTTATAAATTCATACTTATCCCATTTGTCTTTTATGATAGCCTTTATTTCCACAATAGTTAGAAATTTATCTTCCTTCCACAGCTGGAATAAATATGCTATTCCATTTTCCTCACTTTTTTTTTTTTTTTTTAACATATGCCTATGTGGCCCATCTGAACAGGACTGCAGTGATGTGGTAGGAAGCAATTCTTATTGCTCTATACTGGTAGCCAGGTGGATACCCAGCTATCCCAGCAACATGTCTTAAATAACAAATCCTCTCACTGTTGTTATGTTGCTTCTGGTTTGTAATATTAAGTTCTTAAAGAGTTTAAATCATTTTCTATTTTGTTCCCTTGGACCATTTTTCAGTTTTAGCCTAAAACCATAACAGCTTGGGTAATTATTTTTCAACAATATTGTTCTGGACAATACAATAAGAAATGAACTATAAATATTTGAAAAGAGACAAAATTATATTCATTTGGTAATATGAAATACTTCTAAATATCTGTATTCAAGGATTTAAATTTGTTGAGTTTGGCAAAAATTCATAGCATTCTCACATATTAACAATAGTTAGAAAATATAATAAGCTGGAAACTTTATTTTTAAAAATGTATTAAATCACTCAGGCCCTCATCCCTTCTGAACTTCTGATGTCCCAGCTAGGGTTACCGATTCCATTCTTTATCCCCTGTCAGTCTATTCTGCGCACCACTACCAGACTGTTCTTTTTCAAATATACATTTGATCATATCATTTAAATCTCGTTTTAAATCCTGCAGTGGGCTCTCCATGGTCTTCGGAGTCAAGTTTAAACTCCTTAGCTCAGCGTATAAGGTTTTTCTGTCCTTTGGACTACCCTTGCCTCTCTGTCTCTGTTAGCCTGCTTTAGCCTCAGGGACTCTGCATCATTTTCCCCAGAAGGTATCCCAAGCCCCACTTAGTCTGAATTAGATGTTGTTCCTGTGTGTCCGTAGCACATTTCTCCATCATAGCATTTAACATGCTTGTTGGTAGTTGTGGGTTTCCTTGTCTCTTGCCCCCTAGCTTGTCAACTCCTTAAAAGCAAGACTATGTCCCTTATCTCTTTATTAGAACACTAATAAGGTGTTCCCACAATGTTTGGTGGGACATTTTACTCTCTCTTTTTGTGTATATGTGTGTGTTTTTTTGTTGTTGTTGTTTCTTCTTCTTAATACTTTGAGACATGATGGAAAAATCTTACAGGTAAACATCGAAAAATAAGACCTGATCATAGCTGATAGTGAAGACAGTCTAATGAGAAAGCTCTGTCAGCTAACATAGAAGCTGAAGTTCTGTGAGTGTGGCACGCTGTACTTTTTGTTTTATACTCTTTGGAACCATACGATTTTTTTTAAAACTAAGTACCATGCATTTTTTTGTACTTCTTAATTTTAATAACTGGATTACATTTTTAAAAGAAATGGATAAGGAAAATGAAACAAAAGTAAAATGAGAGTGAGGAAGATAAGATCAAGCCAGAAATGAAGTTAAGTTTACAAAAAGCCATGCTTTTTAAAGTGCTTGCATTTGCTAGGGGCAGGGTGTACAGTTGACCTTATACTCTAGGAATCAATGTAAAGAAGACATACTCAGTTTCATGATCTACTGTATTCATAATATAAAAATAAGGCCAGTATTCAGGAGAAGCACAGTTGTTTCTGGTACTAATATCAGAAAGAAATATCTTTTGTGGGTTCTTGTAAAGAGAAACTGTAATGTAACCAATATTATGTTTAAAAATATCCTTTCAACATTACAAGTCAGACAAAGGTCTAATCTCTAAAATCTACAAGAAAATCCAACACCTCTACAACAAAAAGACAAGTAATCCAATTAAAAAATGGGCAAAGGAAATGAACAGACACTTCACCAAAGAAGACATTCAGGCGGCCAACAGACACGTGAGGAAATGCTCGCCATCACTAGCCATTAGAGAAATGCAAATCAAAACCACAGTGAGATACCATCTCACCCTGGCATTACTGTCACGAATCAAAAAAACTGGAAATAACAAATGTTGGAGAGGTTGCGGGGAGATTGGAACTCTTATGCACTGCTGGTGGGAATGCAAAATAATACAACCATTTTGGAAAATGATATGGCACTTCCTCAGAAAGCTAGAAATAGAAATACCATACGATCCAGCAATCCCACTCCTAGGAATATATCCTAGAGAAATAAGAGCCATCACACGAATAGACATATGTACACCCATGTTCATTGCAGCATTGTTCACAATAGCAAAAAGATGGTAACAACCTAGATGCCCATCAACAGATGAATGGATAAACAAACTGTGGTACGTACACACAATGGAGTATTATGCAACGATAAAGAACAGTGATGAATCTGTGAAGCATCTCATAACATGGATGAAACTGGAGGACATTATACTGAGTGAAATCAGTCAATCACAAAAGGACAAATATTGTATGAGACCACTACTGCAAAAACTCATGAAAAGGTTTACACACAAAAAGAAACAATCTTTGTCGGTTATGAGATGGGAGGGGTGGGGGTGGGGGAAATACTAAATAGACAAGAGATAAGTGGTAGCTTTGGTGAAGGGTAAGACAGTACACAATCCTGGGAAAGCCAGCACAACTTGTACAAGGCAAGGTCACGGAAGCTCCATAGATATATCCAAACTCCCTGAGGGACCGAATTGCTGGGCGGAGAGCTGTGGGGACCATGGTCTCAGGGAACATCTAGCTCAATTGGCATAACTACAGTTTATAAGGAAGATATTCTGCATTCTACCTTGATGAGTAGCATCTGGGGTCTTTAAAAGCCTGTGAGCAGCCATCTGAGATACTCCACTGGTCTCACCCCTTCAGGAGCAAGGGAGAATGAAGAAAACAAGATACAAGGGAAAGATTAGTCCAAAGGACTAATGGACTACAGCTGCCACAGCCTTCACAAGACTGAGTCCAGTCTGGCTACCACCACTGACTGCTCTGACAGGGATCACAACAGAGGGTCCCGGACAGAGCTGGAGAAAAATGTAGAACAAAATTCTAACTCACAAAAAAAGACCAGACCTACTGGCCTGACGGAGACTGGAGAAACCCCAAGAGTGTGGCCGCTGGACACCCTTTTAGCTCAGTAATGAAGTCATTCCCGAGGTTCACCCTTCAGCCGAAGGTTAGACAGCCCCATAAAACAAAATGAGACTAATGAGGCACAACAGTCCAGAGACAAGGACCAGAAGGCAGGAGGGGACAGGAAAGCTGGTAATAGGGAACCCAAGGTCAAGAAGGAACAGTGTTGACATGTCGTGGTTGTTAACCAATGTCATAAAACAGTATGTGTACTAACTGTTTAATGAGAAACTATTCGTTCTGTAAACCTTCATCTAAAGTACAATAAAATATATATATATATATATGTATATCTACTTTCAGTAACTAAAGCAACAGGTTTCATTGAGTAGTTTCTTATAATATCTCTCGATATAGACAGAATGGCATAACTCCAAAGTATATTTTAATGAAAGTCATTCTAAGTGTGGAAGGAATAGATTAAGTGGTAAACTAGGAAAAAGCATGGCAATGCGTACTGATGGTGGCCTCATGTCTTTGCTCTGTGAAGAAAACACACAAATCAGTAAGAAATAAAGTGATTTTTAGTAAAATCTGAGCAAGAACATGAAGTAATTCATAAAAGAGGAGGTACAACTAATCAGGTAAACATTAATTCAAATTAAAACAAGATTTCATTTTCTACCTAATGATAGGCCAAATTTTTCTTTGGTTTGTTTGAATCATAATAGCGTTGATGTGGTAAAATGTGGACTATACATTAAGGAGGAAATAGACATTGGTACACCCTGTGGGAAAGGAG